TAGGACAGGGTCAGTCCTCCAAGAAAAAGAGAGAGTTGTTCAACAGCTGAGACAAAAAGCCTGGGTACCACAGAAGGTGCATTCCAACATTGATTGTCCATAGCCAAACCCTACCCTCTGTTTGCCAGAGTGGCCGTGAGGGGTGGGGGGCAATCATTGTTATAATGAATTTTTGCCAGTGCCATCTTGGTGCAAGTGATTATGAGATACTACAAAGCCGTAACTCAGTTAACATAATTATATGCTTCTAGAACCAACTATGAAGCATTATGTTTTTACTTGAGGCATGCTGTGTGTATGTACCCTGTATATTTTCTAAGGTCTAGATTGGGTCTCCAAACAGTCTGTCTCCAGATTTGGGAGATATTCTTAGGTTCTGTAGTGAAGAGCTACATGGTAAAGCCCTCCTTGTGAAACCTTTGCATCGTAAATGAACAGGACATTCACATGCCTCTCACAGAAAAACTTAGGTTTTTCTGTTCTTGTGATGTTTCTATAGGAATGTGCAGTGTGTGAATGAACAACCCTGCTTACCATTTCCCATAAAATGCTGAGTCAGCATTCTGGAATTCCCACCGTGGGCAGCCGTGCTGAGATCTTACCTCTTGTGCAAGATTTATTCTCACAAAAACTTGATCTTAGTGAGGTTGTGACATAAGCTAGAATTATCTGATTCGCATGGAATCGTGGTTTGTTCATATTCATGAGTTGAAGAGATTAAAAACCAGTTCCCATACCTGGTTCACTTAGCTGGAGTATCTTGAAAGAAACTGTACAATGTCCAGTTGCAAAGCTCTTGTAATTGCAGATCCTGCAGAGCTGGGGACAGTTTTGCTTCTGCATTCCTGTGTGTGAGTCTTATTACTATTCTAGCCGTATGTATCTGTGGCAGTTGAGTCGATCCACTCAAAGCAAAGTATTTTACAGCTGCAAACAGAGTTGGAACTTAAGGTCAAAGCTTGTAAAAATAAGTCATGAGCATGAAGGATCATGGTATCTTTTGCTACATAGCTTGCTTTCTGTTACACACTTCGCTGAGATCAAGAATTGGATTACTTCTACCACCTCAGTGCCTTGGGAGATCATAGACCTCTAATGTATATATTCTGTCTGATGTATATATCCACACCGAAATCACAGTCACATGTTTTGTGAATGCCTTGAGGAAGGGAATTGTTAATTAATTTTAGCTCCATTCCTCGATATTCATGTATCTGGTCTAAGGCCTAAATGGAACCTGTGTGAAACAGATGATAGGATCTGTGACTTCTTCCTAACCATCTGGAGAAAACTCTTATACGTTCAGATCCAGATTAAGACAGGACAATGTAATTCTATCCTTCCATTGGAAATAACAGTTGAGCTAGGAATTGTGTTGCATACATACAGGTCCTCCTCAACTTACAACCATTCATTCAATGACCGTTCCTTCAAATGCCTAACTCAACTGTTGCAATAATGCTGAAAAAAGTGACTTACAATCCATGCTCACACTTAAAACCATTCAGTGTCCCTGCGGTCACGTAATCAAAATTCAGATGCTCGGCAACCGGCACACTGTATATTTATGATAGTTGCAGTGTCCCGAAGTCACATGATTGCTATATGCAACTTTCCCAAGTCAATGGGGAAATACAAATTTGCTTAAGAATCATGGCAAAAATAGGTAATAATATCGGTCATGACTCACTTAATGACTGCATCACTTAGCGATTGATGATCTGGTCCCAATTGTGGTCATAAGTCAAGGACCATTTCCCCAAAATATTGGTTTAACACAGGGATCTTCAAACTTGGCCCTTTTGTGACTTGTGGACTTCAACTCCCAGAATTCCTGGTTTAACATCATGAACTCTGGATGTGAAAACGGGATTTATTTCTCAAGGCATTTGTGGCATATTCCAGGATATTTCATCCAAACTGTTTCTCTATTGCTCCTGTCCAGATTTTGGGAGTTTGGAGCTTTTCATTTCATATTATTAATGCTTTTTTTCTGAAGAGCATTTTTCTCAGTTAATCATTCAAGGACTTCATATTAAGCTATGGGAAAATCTTTAGGACAGCCTTTTTAAAAGGCACATGGTAATGAAAGGATGTAGATTGACAGAGGAGTGAAGTAGGTGGGAAAAGAAACTGCATTAATACTTCTTACAGCATTTACAGAATGCTAGCAGTGTTACAGAATTACTATTTCAATGTCCCTTCCTGCCCCTTCATTTCAGAAGTTTTGATGGCTAATGGCTCTGAGCCCCTAGATGTGAACTGGAAGAGAGCACATTTCTATGAAGATACAGAAGGATTTCTTCACTCTTGGACTTTAAGATTCTAAGACATATTAATATGGACGTGAGCTACAGCAACATTATAAATGAGCAAATGCAAAAATGACAAGAACTTGGAAGGCCAAGTAGGTAGGACATTAAGGAATCTTTCATTCCTTAATGTCCCACCTACTCATAAGCTTATGAGAGACATTTTCTAGAACTCAGTGCCAATGGTTTAAATGAAGAGAGCTGCAATACCTGTCCCGCTGCCTTGTTAATCAAGTTGCCCTATTCTTCAAACCTCTGTCCATCTGCTATGCAGGGAAATCAAGATGAAAGATGCAATAGATGCAATACAATCAAGAGATTGTTACTGAAATGCAGTGTAAGATCCAACGCTGGCCTATAATTTCTTCTTGAACTATAAAGTATTGACCAGCATCTCTTGTGGGGAAGAACCCAGGCCCACATGAAACTTATCAGCACTTCCATCCCTATTCCTCTGTTCTTTTTTATTTGAACTAACTTTTGTATCAGTTACAGCAGAGGTCCCCAACCTTTTGGGCACCAGGGACCGGTTCTGTGGAGAGAGTTTTTCCGTGGACCGGAGGGTGCGTGGTTTTGTGTGCTGCCTGCATTCCCCTGGATGGACCTTTGTTTGTTTGTGTGAACTGGTTGCTGGCATGCTGCGGCCCAGTACTGGTCCACAGACCGGGGGTTGGGGACCCCTGAGTTACAGTGTTGGCTGAGGTGGTGGAACTCTTAATTCTAAGATCTTCCTTTCTGCCCACAGTACTGGATCAGCTCCTTCCTGAGTTGAATGTCCTGCTCAAACTCTTGGACCACGAATACCTGAGTGCCACTACAGTGGAGAAGAAAAACACCGTTTCAAATATCTTACAAAAGCTGCAGCCTCCAGCAGGTTAGGAAAGCCTCGCTGTCATATTTCATCACTGTGTTTTAACATACTGTTTTCTTCCTCTCCCTCCCCCCTTTTTGTACAACCATAACTATAAAAAAATATGTTTGGCATGTTTTCTTCCTCGATTGTGTCATGTTTTGGCTCCTGACATGTCTCGGCAGGTGTCAGTCTTTTGTTTAAGTGCTGGGGAATCACTGGAATAGATTGCAACATTTTTCCAGTTGTTTGCCTCCAGTGACAGTTGACAGTGATCAGTTGCCTGGCCAGCAAGTCCTGTTTTGCTTTTTTAAAAGCAAATGCCTCAGAATGGTTTCCCAGAGGCAAAAGGCAAGTTGAGGCTTTGTTATCGAGGACGGTCCATAATGCCAGAGAGGTATAAAATTATATTTTCATGAAAGATGTTAATTCAGGCAAATGAGCTGTTCCTTTTCAATCAACTCTTCACATTCTCTAAATGCAACTGCTGTGTAATTGCTGTGAACATTAAACAAGGAGGCAGATACCAATACATTACTGTACATAAGGGCAGATTAAATGCTTGCCCTGCAGTGCTCTAATCCTGCTCCAAGCAGGAGAGAGAGAGAGAGAGAGAGAGAGAGAGAGAGAGAGAGAGAGAGAGAGCTCTGAACCCTTATAGTAACCAAAGGATATCTAACGCGTAGGTCTTGTGATTTCACAAATGAAACATGTGTACCGTATCTTTGTCTTCTTTACAGGAACAGGAGATTGCAGGGAGGGGTTCTACATCCCAGAAAGCTAAACAATTCTCTAAGGCAGCTTATCCCTCCCTCCCTCCTGCATCTGTTTCCATTATGGCTTTAATAATACAGGATCCTTGGCCATTTGTTGTTACAAGTACCTGACTCCCTCTGGTGGAGCATTCCATGCTAATGAACCCCAACAGATGACCTTGAGGAGCAGAAATAAGCAGGCATCAAACAATTACTGGCAAGAGATGACTGTTCTATTCTTTGGGGCATTTGAGCCTTACACACAGGGTTTCTTCATATTTATGATTGTTCCCAATACAGGACAAATGAAATTGTAAGCCTTTCAGGGTGGATATTTTTCTACTTTTAATTTTTGATACTGCATCTCATGCCTTCTCATGTCAGCCCATTACTTTTGGGGAATTTGTGTAATTAGTTCTATATTAGTGTTTCCAGATGGGATGACCTATCTGTCAGAATCCATGGAGTGTCTGCATCTGTGTATGCATGTGACTTTGTGTGGACATGCTTGTGTATCTATGTGACTCTATGTGTGTAGAAGAGCAGAACCTCAGATAGTGAAAATAGTCATATTATTTAACCTTGCTTTAGTTGGCCAGGAATTGTTATTTTCTTTCCTGTGGAAATGTATGTTTCCACTAGACTTCCTGCTGACTGATTTCTGCTGAGACAGAAGATTTCCATAGGAAGAGCAAATGGTTCTCATTCTCTGATCAGGAGATTTCTCTCTTCTGTCCTGCAGCAACACCCAGCATATATATTCTTTATAATTCTGGATCACTTGAAGCAATTCTGAAATGGCCCTCTCTGAAGGAAAGTGATGTCTCCTCATTTTTGCCTTATACTTTTCAGATATCAATTCTTCCTCTTGAGGATAGGCATGGCCCCCCTTTGACCTTCTTTGAAGTTTGTCTGAAATTGCTATTTAACTAGACTGGCTGAAGTTCTGGGAACTATAGATACATTAAGTGAAAAAGTTTCATTCAGATAGCTGGAAATATAAATGCAACATTTGTTCAGATATTGTGAATTTTACTGCTGTCTTATGAAATCATGATACAAACCAACAAGAAATTTAAAGCGCAATGGGCAAATCTGGATGGTCTCATATCTGTTCTGTGAAATCATGATGGCATAGTCAAATCTATGATTTGAGAGATAGGGAACTCAAAATTCTGCAAGGACTGAACGCCTGTTTGGCTGTATTGGATATTTTTTCCTATAGATTTGGAACAGGAGTTTAAGCTGTTCTTTATCTTTATGTTCCATGAATGCTCACCAGTTTTTACCTGTTAAAAGATCACACATGGCAAGTGAATTTTCATAGGAAAAAAAATGCTACTTCATTACTACTGATTGCTTCTTTAAAATGTAGAATAGGAAACATTGAGTATGTTCTGCAGTTTTTTGTGTACATTGCAGACCAATGAGAAGCCCAAGAGTTTAGCTTCCTGCATAAACTAAGCTTCCTGTAGACGTTGTCCTAGCAATGCCTTGCAACTGTGAGAGGGAAGGTCAAATATTAAAATTTGAATGTCATTTTGTGTGTATTTATTGTATCATTTCTGCCTTTCAGGGAAGGATGCGAATTACATGTATATGAATACGACAGCACTGCACAATGGTACTAGTTTTGTGGAATCACTGTTTGAAAAGTTTGGTATGTACAGTGGATTGATGTGATTATATTATCACCTATAGATGTGATTATTTTTGTCCCATTCAGTACCTGAAGTGGAAGAGTAATGGAAGTACTATAAGTGACAGAGAAACCACATGTTGTCAGAAAATCAGGAGGAGTCCAGTATCACCTTTTTGACTAACACATTTTATTTAAAAACATAAGCTTTCATGAGTTGCAGTTTACTTCATCTCCAACAATTGATTGATTTGATGTACATATATATATATATTATTTACCTGTAGATTTTGACAAATTTAAATACTACCATTTTATTAATATTGGATATAGGTTTGGGAGTGAATACATTCCCTCTCTGCTTTAGTTCTAAAAGGCAATAGCTCTTTTGAATAAGTTATTTGTATTGGAGAAGAATTCCCACATCTAGTTTGATCTTTTATTTCATAGTATCCAACTTAATACTTTCAAATTATAATTTCCCTCAGTGCTAACATATCACAGAATCAACACAGATTGTCATCAGCATAACTATCCAAGTCTCATCCAAGACATCTTCTGTTTTTCTTGATCATCTCTTTACTTCAGTAAGAGGGCAGCTGACTCTTTGTGTCTTCCTTTCTCTGTTTCCCATAGTGATTCAGAGGAAAGAGGCTACATAAATCTCATAGCCCCGTACCTTTGTGGGCCCAAATATTAGGATCTGATGTAACAATGAATATACATGTTACTGTACTACTCTGGCTTCTAAATTTTTTTCTCAGACTGTGACTTGGGCAACCTTCAGGACATGCAGGAAGATGATGGAGATAGTAAAGAAGGTATCAACTTGGAGCTCTCAAGGAGTCAATCAGCTAAAAGCGTAAGTTCCACCAATTCTCAGTTCCTCATTCCATAACACATGAGACTATTTTATACTAAGGACAAACACTGGTCATCTACTTCAGTGCTGTTCATATTCATGTTCTCTAATTTGGTGCTCTCCAGAAATATTGGAATTATAGTTCCCTATGCTGGCTGACAACATCAGCACCTTCTATCCTAACAGAACTGGTGGGCACCAAGTTGGGGAAGGCTGGTTTGTAGTGATTGACTGTGACATTTAAAATTTTGAATATTGAGACTTTCTTAGCTGATAGATGGAAGAGGCCATTTGTGGGCAAAACAGGTTTGAACTCTGCAGAGGAGACATTTTCTGTACATTTTTATTTCTTTCTACAGGCTCTTATAAGATTGGTCATGGTGGAATTCTCTGGGCATTTGATGCCTGGGATGGAGCTACATTATAGATCCCTTCAGATAAGCAAAGAGAGAGAAAGAAATGCTAAGAAGGAAAGGATCACATCATGTCCGAAAAAGTCTGCTTATTTTATGTTTGCAAGACACATAGCTTGGAAAGAAGCCATCAGAACATTTATTTCATCAACTATTTTCGAAGTTCTGGTTAGATGATAACGTTCTATCCAGAGAGAAACAAAAATCCATTCCTTTTTTATAGGCAAATTTAGGCAAATTTATTTCACAAAAAGACCTGATATGCAATCAGATGCAAATATAATCATATGGGAGAGGCATAATGAGGTTGGAGACAAAAAAGAATAGAAAGGTGGTTTTTCTTCCCTTTAAGCCAGAAATAGTTAAAAAGAAGCATTGCTACACATGAAGACATACTCACTCCACTGAAGCAACAAATATTTGCAAATGTTAGTATTACTTTTATCCAACAACTATGGTAGGATAAAAAAAATTGTATGTGTATGCATTGTAGAGAAGCAAAGAACTATCTCTCTCTTATTTAGATGGAATAGTTCTTGTTGCTCAGAGCAAGATTAAACAATGGTCGGCCTGATAATTTCCCCTTGTTTCCACACACATCTAGCATAACACTATGGGCCCTTAAACATGATATTTTATTGTGCAACTGCTCTACATCATTTATAGAGTGATATTGGGGTAGGTTATCTACACTAATATCCTTGAGTCTTCCCATTGTTTCTTTTATCTTTGTTTCCTACCTGAGAACAATCAGTTAATGTTAGAAAGCTAGATTGGGTATCTTCTGTTAGGTAGTTTAATGGGGTCCTCCAACGGCCATTGAAACTATCTTATCCACACTGATGCTATAGACACAAGAACAGAAGGTAAATGGCTTGAACAAAAGCTTCTGAGGCTGAGGAATTTCTCTGCAAAAATACCTCCATTTGGAAGATACGTTCAGAGCAGATAATAGCAGTGCAACATTCAACCCCATTTGAACACTGCATTCTTTTTCTCATAGGTTTCTGGGGAGCCACCTCCACCATTGCCCACGACTCCTCCTCCAGAAGATTATTATGAAGAAGCTCTGCCATTGGGCCCAGGCAAAGCTCCTGAGTACATTACATCTCATAGTAAGCCTTAAAGAGGGCCAGCTAAGGAAGGAAACAGCTGGCATTCTGACACTCTCCTATCAGTTAGGAAAATAAAGACTCCTCCCAGAGGTGTCTGGCAGCTGACAGGCTTATAATTGGTACCGGGGGCAGGCTTTCCTGTTCCTTTCCTGGGTTTTTTCTTCCTCACCCCCCCCCCACTCTTTGGTTGGTCAGATGTCACAAGCAGTTGTTGTTTGTTCAGACTTGCCTGGAAATGTATAGTAAATCTTGAGTGACAAGAAAGGAAAGGGCCTGCCTGGGAACAATGTCACTCTGTCTCTCCTGTAGCTTGTCTGAGAGATTAGGGGAAGGCAGAGAAAAGGGCCCAGCACCTGTTCTTATAATCACTGAGCCCTAGTGAAGCCATTTACAGGCCTAGCAACAAAAACAAGAACATTATAAGATTTCCTGCTGATGCAGCTGACTCATTGCATAAGTGCCATGAGAAACATGAGGAAAGAATAAGATCCTGTTATAAGGATTCTGGAAAGACCCTCCTACATTAAAGTCAAGAAGGAGAGGTTTCTTTCAATGTGGTTTTGGCTCTGGGACTCAGCCCCCTGGGAACTCTGAATGAATGTGAAGAACAACCAAAAGAAAGTAGATGGCATACTGAGGTTGTTTAAAGGCAGAGTATGTGTTTTTAAATAATGGTTGCAGTAAGGCAAAGAATGTGAGATTAAGGATCAGAAAGCAGTTGGGAACAGATAATTATGACTGGCACCCAATGAGCTCTGTTTTATATTTCTTTTGTGATCTATAGTATCCCTTTAGAAATGGGCAAGTAAAGGTAGACAGAGGATTTGAAGTTATGACATAATTTATCAGTGAGATGGGTGGCACAGAAATTAAATATAAAAAAATTGTCTCAAATTATTGTTAGTCTTTGTGCTGACTTATTGGTAATAAAAACTTGTCTATATCCTTCAGAGTTGACTTACAGTGCAGTTCATATACCTCCCTGCAAAGTCTTTCTCACTGCTTAATTTGTACAATTTAAAATATTCCTTCTGCTTTCTGTATAGACAGCTCCAGTCCTCCCAATTCAATAGAGGATGGATACTATGAGGATGCAGATAGCAACTACCCTGTCACCAGAATAAATGGAGAGCAGAAAAACTCTTGTAAGTAGCACTGCAACTATATGTGTTGTGTGCATCTGTTGGGGAAGGGGAATCATCCTGAGTGCAGAAGATTCAGGCAGTTTAATACAATTTTATGGAAATATTATATGCTTATATATTTTTGGTTGTTGTTAATGTTGTTACCATTAAGCTACAGTAGCTTTAAGAAGGAAAGCCTCTTCTTATTTCTCTTGTTTTAGTCATAGCCATCTTGGATTTTAGGAAAAGACAAGTCTATAGTACCTCTGTATTTTTTTCTTTCTTGTCCTTCTACCCTTGAATTTCTCTCCCAGCTTCTCCATTATTATTCCAATGCATCCTTAGTGTTATTGGATCTTTCTCCACCACTAAAGAGATTAAGGCTCTCACATGGAGTTCATTTGAAGTTGACTATTACTAATCATATGTATTCATTATTTAAAGTTCTTGCTTCCTCACAGTCCTGGAGATTTTCTTATGTATCTAGCACTCTTCTTAATCACTGTTAGTAAATCAACCTCTTAATCACTAAATCACATCAGGATGTTCCCTTTGTCATTGTCTCTCTTTTGTCTGTTTTTTGCCTTGTTGATTTAAAGTTTGCCTGTGTTAAAAAAAGAAATAAAACCTTGCATGGGAGAGATGTGGCATGGTAAACAGAAAGATCCCTGTGCTATACTTCTTCCAGTTCCAGAATTTAAAATCTAGTATCATTATGTTTTTCTGTGTTTGCAAATTTCTTTAACAGTGCCATAATCCTCTTGTTTTGTTCTTTTTCCATTTATAGCTCTCCTTTCTATCCTTACAGAGCAATTCAGATGGCTTAGAACACACATAGTAAACTATTCAAAACTCCTACTGAAAAGGGTGTATTTTTTTCTACACATGAGAGTGTGGGAGCCAAATATATTTCTCAAAAAGAAGTAGTTTGTATTTTGGAAGCAGCACTCAAGAAGGCTTAACCCAGGTGCCTCAAAAAACAGTAGCATTTTTAAAAACGACCTTTTAATGTCCAGACAGGTGGATAGCAGGAGAAGCAACATGGTCTATTTAAGCAAAACCAAATCAGTCCTATCTTAGGACACCATATTTTGAGGGTTTCTAATATGTTGAATAGATTATAACTGATTTGGAATAAAGAGCCTTTCATATACTCACATGTGAGTTTTGAACCCTGCCATCTCTGTCCTGATCCACACCCAAATCTGACTCTTTCTAGGGCTGCTGATTACTTGCCTCATCCATACATTGCCTACCTTCTCTGAGACCTCAAGAAGAGACGATGGCTCCTGGCCCACCAACACTTTCAAAATGCCAGGCTAGGCATTGGTTCTACCAAACCATTCTGTCCTAATTCACCATCCAAAACCTTCTGAATACCATCACACAGACTTTAGCCCAAACGGGTTGTGTTGTAGAACACAAATATTAGGAAGAGATGTCTACTTGTCCAATCTCAGGACTATTCCAGACAACTTGATAGCATCCTGGGCTATACAAAAAGTGAGAGTACACCAAACAAAGTGGCTGAATATATCTGGCCAGCTTCCTAATTCACTTGGTTCTTTTGCAGTTATTTTCTTTCTAGCCTTTCCAGCAGCAATACTACTAACAACTAACTGTTTTCAAATGCTTACAATGGGTAATAATCGCCATAATTTATCATCTCATATTTTATATGGTCTTATTCTTTTAAAATCTTCAAGTTTTATATTTTTCTATGATGCAAAAAGGGAATAGGTAATATGTTAGGTTAGAAACTGGTGGGTGCTTTTGTAGAATGCAAATTTGATTTCATTTTTTTACATTAAAGAATTTAATAACAATAGTTCTATGAGAGGAGTTTGAAAACAGTAAAAAAGAGCCCAGAGGCACATTTTAGGCAGATATTTATAATACTGAAATTCCAAAATGCCAATTTGGAAGTTGTTTTGCATGGCAGTTTGCACTTAGCCTCCAACTATTGCAAGACAAGTTTAAATAAAACAGTAGAAATCTTGTAAACTATCAGTATACCAGAAATTAACATGTGATTCTTACTTGCATAACTCTAAAACAGGGGTGTCAAACTCACTGCATTATGTGACATGTCGCGATGTATCTTGACTTTTTCCCCCTTGCCGGAGCTGGGGTGGGCACGGCTTCCTGCTCTAAAACATACTTACAGAAATTGTGTGTGTGTGTATGTGTGTGTGTGTTAGGAGAAATAGCCTTTAAGTAGAGATAGTATTCTGTTACATATATTAGGGATGCTGGTGATTCCTCGCAAATCTAGGTAGGATTGGAAAAGTTTCATACTGAAATCCTAGAGACTCATTGTTAGTCAGTGTAGATCAGGGGTAAGCAAATTTCTGGCTTTATTGTGTAACCTTGAGCAACAGTGTAGATACAATTTTTGAAAAACAAATTGAAATCTTGTTAGATCCTATGAGAATTCAGCCACTACTTTTTCTTTTTTTAAAGAAAAATAATTTACTTTGGAACTCTGTAGATTCAGGTAGTTGCAGGCACCTTGCTGCCTAAGAGCACTGAACCGATGATCTCTAATATAGGTAATACAAAAGTAGATTAACTTGTAGTCTGACTCAGTAAAAATGGTCTCTCTTGTCCTGTGAGATTAGCAGTGACATTATGGAGGATTAAATTCTCCCTGTTTCCTCATAGACAATGACTCTGATGCAATGAGCAGCTCCTATGAATCTTACGATGAGGAGGAAGAGGATGGGAAAGGCCAGAGGTTAACGCACCAATGGCCATCAGAGGAAGCTTCTATGAACCTGGTGAAGGACTGCCGGATTTGTGCTTTCCTGTTGCGTAAGAAGCGCTTTGGACAGTGGGCCAAGCAACTGACAGTCGTTAAGGACAATAAGCTTCTGGTGAGTCAGTAGTTTTTTAGAATACCACAGCCTTTGTAGCAGTGACAGGTCCTTTTGAAGAAGACAAATTCCTCTCCAAATTACATACTAAAATTAATTTGTCATAGTATCACTGGTTATAATTTAATTCCAAAGGCCTCCAGAAAGAATGATGTTTTCACCTGCTTCTAGAATATCATAAATATGAGGGTCCCCCTTGCTACAGGGAAAAAATATTCCAAAGGAGGGAAGCTATTATCCTGGTGGACAAGGACCCTTAGCAGGTGTTCACTAAATTTTCAGTGGGATATGCGGAAATTGTTGGGAAAAGGCGATCTCTAGGAATAAAAGGATAAGTAACATTTAGATATTGTGCTAATGAAGGTGTGATAAATTTATGCTGCAGATACTGATAGGATTGACAGTAAGGAAGCATGCTGGCTATTGTTTTAGAGGCTTCTGATGTACATTGACAAAGGCATTTATTATCTGGGATTTTCTGAAATCCCAGTTTGCAGGCATAAAAGTTTGCAGCATAAAAATCACCAATGTCTTTAGAACTTTGGTATGATACTCTGATTAAAACATCTAGCTGTCTTATAAATAGTGACTTGGTTATTTAAGAAGACATCAGTAGGAATGATGCTGTGCTCAATTTGATACTCTTTATCATCCATTCATTGTCTGAGATTCTTCTTGGCTATATCATACACTATTGTCATTACTGTGCCTAGAAAGGCGATAATGGTACAACTTCTCCTCCAGCCCTTTCCCCCATTTCAAATAAAGAGGTCAGCTAACACAGATGTGGCTATGTCTACAAGAAAAAAATAACAAGTCTGTACCATAATTTGAAAAGGTTAATTCATGCACTGGCTTTTATTTCAAATAGTCTTCCTCCCATAATAAAGAACAGCACTAGGCACACCAAAGCATTTGAAGAATATTTCTTGGGCATTGAGACTTTTCCCTGATAGATGGAGGATTATTCCAAGGGCTTAAATAAAGCATATTACTAATTTTAAATTGTGCCCATTGAGTGACCAATTTAGTGCCTAAGTTCTTTCAGTGAACACCATTGTTTTTATAATTAATCTCTAAAGATAGATTGTCAAAGTAGGAAGTAGGAGCACAGTATGTTCTTTGTAAACCTACTTGGGTTTTAGGGAGAATTACCACATCACCCATGCAAAGGCATATACCAAGACGAATACAAGTGAATTAATATGTAAATTGAACAATAATGGAAGCAAGACGCAGTTCTACCTAATTCTCCTAAAGTTTGAAATGTTTTTGGTGAGGTGCCCTAGGACGTTGCAGTATAAGTTTTGATATTAAAATTATTTCATTTGATGTTGAGAGTAATATATGCGAAAATTTCTTGATGTCAAATATAATATGTATCTAAAATTAAGAAATACTGTATAAAATGCAGTTGGGGGATATGTTCTTTTGCCAGATGGTGCAACATAAAGGCTGAGTGTAAAACAGAATGACCTGGTTGAAAGCCAAATTGTTCTGCCAAAATATTTTCAGATTCCATCCAATCCACTAATCATTCATACAGATTTGCTGACTCTACTAGACAGACTGAAAAGACTCTTAATTTGGTGGCAGCTTTTTCTCACTTTATTGTACATTGGAATTATTATTGCCATCCCCTCGTCTTTAAGGATATGCATAATGCAGTCAATGAAAGAGAAGAGAAAAGCCAGAATTGGATTTCACCACTCCAGGTTGTTCCTGATTACCTTCTTGTAGGTTATATAATAATACTGAGGGACTTTACCAGACTTGATGTTTACCATTCAGAAATGTTTCTGAGCAGGTTACTGATGCCCACTTTAGGGAACAGTCCATGTCCAAATACAGTGCTTTTTTTCTAAAAAAAAAAAAAAAAAGGTGCTGGAACTCACATATGTCATACAACCCACCTTGCCTACCCTACAAGGTTCCATCCAAAAAAGGTGCCAGAACTCCGTTCTGGGCGTTCTATGAGAAAAAAAGCCCTGTCCAAATGTAATGGGATAATGGCTTCTTTGTTGCTCTTATATAATGGTCAGGAATGTTCCGCTCAAATTGCTGAAGGAATAAAGCCATCAAATCCATCAAAAAAAAAAAAAAAAGATTGTGAGCCTTCTCTTTATGGGGAAGCACAATAATGTCAAAGTCATTGCTGGAACAATCTTGGAATCAGCCAGCCATTGTTTGGACTGAGTCCAGATCTTGGCAGCCTCCATATATCAGGTCATGATTTCCACTGCATCTCCCAGTGGGTCCAGGGAAGAGTAGTATAGCTGAATATCATCTGCATATTGATGATACCTTATTCTGAACTAATGGATAACCTCTCCTGGTGCATTCACCTAGACATTTTTGATAAAACCTTTGTTCTTCCCTCTAAGGGATCTATAGGTAGCACTGACTGAAGATGTACTTGTCCAGCTCACCACATATCTCTTTTAAGATGAAAATGAAAAAAAAATCCTGTCAATATTCTCTAATTGGAATTTATTCTTCAAAGTTCATTATGGACTAGAAAAGCACAGAGTAGGGGAGAGTTTAATTCTTTTTTCATCTAACATTTTCCTGTACCAATACAGTATCCACCTCTTCTTATCCTATTTAGATAAGTATTTGATCAGGAAGTGGACTAGCTGCTCTACCAAATATACTCTGCTGCTTCCTGATCCCTCTCTGGAAGCATATTTCTTAATTTCTTTCTTTAAAACCACCTGAGAAATTTAACATACATTGATATAATATTTCATGACATATGTATGTGTCAAACAGAACATCAGATTCATGTAGCAAAATGTTCTGGTTTGAAGGCTGTAATGTTAAGCTTTGGGAATCTTCAATTTTTTCTTCTTTCTCTGACATACGGTATGTAAATCCCAGTCATCTCCAAATGTTCATCAACACCCTACCCTACTCTTCTGCTTGTTCTTACCACATGGAGAACAGGCGAGAAATGTGTGCAAGAAAGACTAGCTGAATGAAATCTCAATTGTCTCTTCTTTTTTAATGTTAGTGTTACAAAAGCTCCAAGCACAGACAGCCACACCTTGAAGTGCCTTTGAGCATCAGCAACGTTGTCTATGTGCCAAAGGACGGACGCCGGAAGAAGCATGAGCTGCGCTTCTCACTGCCAGGAGCTGAGGTCCTAGTGTTAGCAGTGCAAAGTAAAGAGCAAGCTGAAGAATGGCTGAAGGTATCTCTCGCAACTACAAAAGGCTGTGATTCCTCCGCAAGCCCCTTCTTTTCCTGTGGCTCATATTTTCTACATTTGTTATCCTTTTGTTGATTTGTTTATTTATAACGTCCGGGATATGCTTAGCAATCCTGCTGTGGTTGCTTTTTAATTTGAGCAAATGAGAATGGATCTCATAGGAAGTGGGATTTATCTTTCTCCTGGGCAAGGGCTTTCTTTCCAGCCCTCTTATCGTGCCTGTCTGATTGCAGCACCAGCTGTGGAGACAATATCCACCCATCAGAGAAGACCTTCCTCACCCGATTTAGAATTGTCTGGCAGGGGAGATGTTTGTTTACCCTCACTCAGTCTTTCCTGCTTTTGTTCTCAAGCATGAGCTCATAAACTCAATGAATCTCTAGGAAAGGTAGAATTTGCCTTCTCTTCCTGGAGAACCAGTTCCTTCAACTCAGCTTTCTCTAGTGACACCTCTGCCCTCCCCAGGAGTAGCAACCCCAATATACTTGGAGAATGGCAGATTGGAGAAGGCAGATTGCAAAATATGAGCCTGATAGATGTAAAAGTAAGCAAGTCATTGTGACTAACCACATAACGTGTGGTTAGCCATATGCTGAAGAAATCAGTTTAATAAGTCATGAAGTTTGATCAGGCTTGGATATGGTTATTGTTGTTTTTGGTAAGTACCTATTCTAGGAAGATAAATGCAATATGATCTAAAAGGAAAAAATAATAATTCCCTTGTGGATCTAACAAGTTTAGGACAGAGAAAGGAAATCTGCACACATGGGAACCTCCCCATGCAGCACCTAATTTGTGGCTTCCCAAGAAATGCATTTTCCTGGGACAGGATTATTTGGGTTTCGGTATTTTTGCAAACTTGAGGGAAGGAGACAAATTGTTTCCATTTCTACCTAAACCCCACCTTTCTAGTCATAGCAGTGTCTTAAAATTATATTGCTGAAATTCTGCCATTGAAAATGGAAATATAATGGGGAGGGGGCATTTTTTAAAATATTTATGGGAATTCTAAAGTAGGAATAGAACAAGTTTGCTTTACAGATGTTGCTTGTTCCTTTTCTACTCGTGATCCTCATTGAGAACTGAGGAAAAAAATCAGTGTTCTCTAGAAGATTGGAAAGTCAAATTGTATCCCTAGCCCTTCAAATGCTTCAAAAGACCTTGGCTATATTAGTAATTCAGTGAAATATCCACAGTATACTTATAAACAGAGCATAGTGGAAACAGCCTTCTCCTTGTTGTTTTATGTTTAATTTGTATCCCATTAAGTGTTCCCAACAAAAGCAATAGAATTATTTGGACTGAAATATAACACATGTGGGGGGCAGTGTTTGAGGAAGACTTGTTTAACATTTCGCTTCCTACTTAATATCTGAGTTAGTGCCATCAGCTGATCACACAGTAACTATCTCTTATGTAGCTTGAAACAGAAGTGTGGAGTTGAACAACTAACAGCATTTGCCATAGACAGAAGATGTCTACAGAAGGGGTTGGCTGATTCTACTGGCTCAACTTTATACCATAAAAGAGAATCTGTGACATGGGGGCTTGGCTTCTTTGTAATTTGCCCATCCTCACATGGAGAAACGTACTCTTTTGGAGATTTCATGGGGCATTTATCTGGGAGAAGTTTAATGAAATCTATAAACTAAGTAGTTTATATCAGAACTGCAGGGATGGAAGTTTAATGAGTTGGGATTTATGTTGTTTTGGCAGAGCAAGTGTTCTTTGGCTTGAGTACTGTCAGGAAGATCAGTGTTAAGTCTTTGTTCTTTATTATATTACTGGCTGTTTTTTTTTGTTATTGTTTTTAGTATTTTCATATCTTGCCTTTACTGCATATATTAGTTAAAGCATTCCCTCCTCTGGCTTGGGATATGAAACTATTCAGATCCTCCCTTCCTCAGAATGTTAAGTACTTTCCTGGCCCTAGTCCACCTGAAACTTCAATGGGCTGGATAAATCCAACTTTCTTTTGAAAAACCACCTCCCTGAATTAAAATACCTGATAACCAAGTCAATTAGGGTTGTTTGGGGATCAGAGAATAACCCAATGTGAATGAGATAGAGCAGGAACTGGATGCACTTCCTGCCTTATAAGGAAAAGGCTACTGCCCTGTATTGTCATCTCTTATCTCCTTAAAACATGTGTCAACATTCTATGCTGAAATATTAGAGAAACTGGGAGTGGAAAGAATAAAAATCAGCAAAACCTAGTTAATGAATGAGCTATTGAATGAACTTTATAATTTTGTCTCCTTCTACCGGTATGTTAGGAGGCATAAAAAAAACCATTATCTTTAGTTAGGATCTGTTAGCCAAATGATACTCTTAGGCATAAAACTGATGTCAGTTTAACATAACAATTAGAAATAGCTGACATTAGAAACTAATCCTCCAAACATTTCTATTCCTCAAAAATTGATCACATTTTTATTCCCCAAATTTGATTAATGTTGATCATAGTTCGTAGCTCCTGGATTAAGATTTGGCTTTTCAGTTGCTAACCTGTGATCCCAGACAGAGTTTGCTGTATTCCTTTGTAAGGCAAGGAAACCTGGACGGCATTTCTATACTTGGGAAAATGCAAGCTAACAGTTTGAAATGAAGTGAGCTTTTTATTATAACAGAGGTGTATCCAGTGGTGGGATTCAAATATGTGAACAACCGGTTCTCTGTGTGGATGCCTCTTCCGGAAGTCCATTCAGGGCCTGGGCAACAAAAAATTAGCTACCGGTTCTGCCGAAGTTGTGCGAACCGGCTGAATCCCACCACTGGGTGTATCCCTGTTTTCAAAGTGGTGGAATTCATTACTGTCATTCTAAACTCTATCTCCTGCCCAGGTGATAAAGGAAGTAAGCAATCCCACTGGAGGAGGACTAAATGGAAGTGAAGTTACTCTATCTCCTACACTTACCTACAAGATGGACCATGATAAGGTAAAATTCCCTAAACTTCTGTTCCCAGGACAAGCTGGACATCATGCACATAAGATTCATACTATTCAAGTGTACTTTTCCACATAGAACTAGCAAGTGGAAGAGGGTAGAATTTAACCCTTTTTATTTGTTGTGATCCTACACTTAATTTAAACAATACCCCATATGCAAAAGAAAAGGCTGCATCCTGGTGCAAGTAGCAGCTGGAGGAGGAGATTTTCATTGGAATCAGAAAAATTCTATTTATAGGTAGTCCTCAAATTATGACTATAATTGAGCTCAGAATTAAGGTTATGAGTTGTATTGAAGCAGGTCACTATGTGACCAAGCCCAATTTTACAACCTTTGTTTGCTATGGTAGTTAAGTAATCAGTGTGGTTGTTAAGTGAACACAGTGGTTGTTAAGTTAATCCATTGTCCATAATAGGCATTTTTTGCTGGAAACTGGAAGTAAATGCTGGTTTGGGGCAAAAATGTTGTAAATTGCGATCAGATGACTGCAGGACATGGTAAATAGCCATAAATGTGAGCCAGTTGCTAAACCCCCAAAATGCAATCACATGACTGTGATGATGCGAGCGGGTAGCTGTTGGAATTTCCAATCTGGTCATGAGTAGCCCTGTGGAGAGGTCCATTGTAACTTCAAATAATTGCTGATCAACTGGTCATAAGTCAAGAACTATCTGTAATTGCATTACATTCTTTATCTGCCCATCTCCTTTTGGAATGCTTTCCTAGCACCCCTCCAGTGCCAAGAGTGGTTCTCAGTCTACTCTAAATAAACTAGGCAATCTTTATCTCAGAGCTGTAAGACCAGCATGAGGCCCACTTATAAAGGAGACACCTGGCTCTGATATGAGGATTTTGGAAGAAGGCAATTAATCTTCCCTGAGGGAGCATAAAGCAAACTCTTCAAAAAAAATATATCAGTTCTTAAGTATCCAACAGCAACACAGCAGATGGAAATGACTAATTTTTGTCTGTTGGTTAATCAAAGTATGCTGCTCTTCAAAACTAACTTTTCCCAGAATGACTTACAAGTGTGTATTTTCAAAGTAAAGAGCATTTGAGTGCTATTTTGGATAGCAACCAAGATCACTTTCTTCAATGAGCTTTGCTCAGTGAAGGCAATTAATCTATAAGCAATTTGAGCCTGGAGAGGAAGCCCTGGAGAAAATAAAACACTGACAACCCCTTTATGTATGTTCTTCTTTGACCAGAAGTCATCTCAGGATAAACATACTTCTGACTCGGACAGCATTGCAACAGCAGAAAATGGTTCTTCTTTACCCCAAAGGGAGAGCCATGAACAAGGTGAGTCTGATATTTTCCCACTGTATAAGAGAACAAAATTGAGAATTAGAGCACATACAGTAGAACTTACTATAGTCATTAACACTGATAATGTTACCTAGTTTGGGTAATGAAATGTCTGCGAGAAAACAAGGTCAGAGAGCACCAAGCACCCCTCATTTCAACTCTGAGCTATTCTCCTTTATTGATATCCTATATTCTCCTTTATTGATATTACAGAGGTATAATTTAAAATCTATCCAGTGTTTCTAAGAATTCATTAGTAAAAGATAATTTCAATAAGCTTGATCCATTCTAGTTAATTACTTGATCCATTCTAGTTTATCCACCTGGGAGTTACTACTTTTTTTTACTCAGGATTTTTCCCTTCAGCCCAACTCTAGGTGAACTAGAAGGGATATAGTTTTGAATCTTCCTGCCCAAAGCCCAGATACACAAAAACTACAAATGGACAAATCCTAAAACACAAGAGGTAACTGGGTAATTGTGCCCTGTTATAATCAACAAATATTTTAAATGAAAAAATTTAATCAGACAATCCCTTCAGTGATGCCAAATAGACATAAAAAGAGTTTGCTGAGAAAAATAAATGTAAGGAAAACAAAGGAAGGGAATCACACAGAAATCCATGTAGAAGCAGTACAGTCTTGTACCTGTTTTGAAATTTTTTAGTGGCAAAATGACCTAAGCTTAAAGGATATATACAAAACAGATGTTTTCCTAATCCGTTTCTGTCAAACAATCACCTTTAAGTCAGCTTTTTTTGGTACTCCCTTATCTTGTTCCCACTCATCTGTTTATATCACCTAATAAAATATTTCTTCCTAAAATTTATCTCTGGTCCTTTCTTTATCAGCATTAAATGAAGCACATCATGAAACTATCACCAACTTATAAATCTGTAGTTTCACATGCACCTACAATAATCTAGATAACACCAGTTCATACTATATATAACATACATTTTACTCCTTTTGTTCCTAATTAAACCTACACGCTTTTACTTCCATCAGCTCAGCTCCGCAAAATCCAACACCTTCATCCAGATCTATCAGACCTTTCATTATTTTTTTCACTTGACAAATATAAAATATGTGAGTGGCTATCCTGCAACATACTGTTGCCCATTTTTCACCTAGAAAGTAAAACAAAGCAAATACTTTTTTAAAAGATAGAAGTTGAAAACCAAGATTATTTTTTAAAATAGAAAAACAATTAAGAGACAAAAGCATATGATCCCAGAATACTATTTATTTGATAAATGCCGAGATATTCTCTAGATAACTATGGAGGATGGGAGGAAAACCTTTAATCTATTCATGAATTTTTGCTGGCTCAGATAAGTCACATGCAAACTCCGTGTTCTGTTCCTTCTCCAAGGGAAAAGCAAAAAAAGTGGCTTGGCTGAGCTAAAGGGCTCTGTGAGTAGAGCTGCTGGGAGGAAAATAACCAGGATAATCAGTTTCTCAAAGAAAAAGGCTTCCCCTGAAGATACCCAAACATCCTCTACAGAAGAAGACATCCCATGCTGTGGTTTGTATTAGGATATGAGTAGGAGCACATTTAAGAGGGAATCAGTCATTGGGTAAATTGGGGGGAGAGTAGGGATAGAAATGCTTGCTCAGCTATTTCTTTGCATTGCAAGTAGATGATAAAAGTGACAGATAAATGCACACTCATTTCTTCATGAAGTTGTTATAGTAATCTCATGCATCCCTGGGATAATTCCCTCCCTCCCCCCCTTTCCATGTTCATAAAACAATAAAACAGTTATAATTATTTTGCAAGACCTTGCTGCTGACATCTACGTATTCTGATTGGTTCAATCCAAGGGTTTTACGAAACTACATTGTTTCTCTTATTTTAAGATGTACAGCAAATCATTTAGAGCAAAGGGGATGCTATTCCAAATTCATGCTATACAGTATATATGTAAAAAAAATAGAGATGTATGTACTCAGGGAAAATATCTCATTGATAATAATGCTGGGAAGGGGAAACCTGTAACCATCCGGATGTTGTTTAAATCCAAGTGTCCAACTCCAGTGTTAAAAGTCAATTACATCTGGACAGCTTCAGGTTTCCCCTCCTTTAGACTGAAGTAATTTTCGATTTGGGAACCAACTGCATCATATCTAAGTGCAACATTTTCTGATAGCCTAGGAAATAATCTCTGAAAGTTTAAATCTATCTCTCTCTCTCCCTCTCCCTCTCCCTCTCCCCTCCCCACCTCTCTCTCTCTCTCTCATGTTGGACATTGCACTAGTGCTGATCTTCTTTTATATCTCCTGGCAGGCTACTTGCATGTTCTTGTTAACCAGTGTTGGAAGGAACGTTGGTGTCGTTTAAAAGGCAACATGCTTTATTTCCACAAGGACCGCACAGATTTAAGGACCCATGTGAATGCCATTGTCCTGCGGGGATGTGAGGTGGCACCAGGACTGGGCCCCAAGCATCCCTTTGCTTTTCGTATCCTTCGCAATGGACAGGAAGTCTCTGCCTTAGAGGTAAAGGAGCTTTCAGTTTTCTTAAATAATAAGAATGCTTTTATTTACACCTGTACACATGTGCATTTAGGAGGGATATTTCACTGTGTAGGTTCAGTGTTTTCATACCCTGTGATCCATCGTAGTTTATTTTCACTATGATTTGTGGAATAAGCTACAGCAAATGGCCATATTGCACTAATTATTTCTTGTTGAATTCACACAATACACTAAACCAAAACCAGACAAATGATTTAGCATGTTATTGAATCTATTCACTGCATCCAGTAGAAATAAATAAATGGAGATGGTCTTTATTTTGATTAGGTAGTACTGCTGTAAAGTTATAACCTTACCTTACTTACTTGCAGGAAGAAAATATTCCCCCATTGCTTCCCAGAGAAATATTTATGATTTTACTTTTATATATCCTCTACTCATTTAGGCAAACAGCTATGAAGATCTGGGACGTTGGCTTGGATTGCTGCTGGTTGAAACTGGTTCCAAGACCACTCCAGAGGCCTTGCATTATGATTATGTAGATGTTGAGAAAATAGCCAACATAATCAATGCTGTGAGACACTCTTATATGTAAGAGCTCCTCTTACTAATATGTTTGTGACTTAGCTAGGCTGACGAGGGATTCTGTATCTACCTCTGCAGATTGCTTTCATAGCTTTCTCCTGGTCAGTGACAATAATAAATTTCCTGGTATCTCTTAAAACATTTTTGAACCTAAGTGACAAATGGACAAACATGGAATATATAGGCCTTTTAGAGTACAAATATAGTGATGAGAAGATGCCAAGCTAATGATCTCCACAGCTGAGTTCTTTTCCTCTTCTTTGAATCAGCAGAACATTATTTTAGTGTGACATTTGATGTTACCTGTGCCGGTTTCTGTCATGTCTCTGTTTCCAGTCAATACTGGTTACTTTTGATGTTCATTCATGGTAATGAGTGCCTAGCAGGTTTTAGCTTGCCTTGAGGCTGCCCTTGGGTGGTGTTGGAATTGGGGGGATGGGATGGGGGTAGGGAATGTTGCTTTAGCATTGCTAAAACGAATGACTTAAGCCAACCTTACTCATGGGCTGGAGATATAATGAATGCAACATCATGGGAGCATGATACAACAGATTGCTAGCTAGGTCATCTGTGACATGGTTACTAAAAAACAGCCTAACGCAGATAAATCCATATTCATGATATTTGACTTACTCTTTGATTCTTAAAAGTAAGCTACAAAGCTATATTGCCAAAGAAAGATTTTGGACTGTTTGTACCTAGAAAAAAATAACTGTATACTGCTCTCTAATGTATGAAGTATATAGATACAAATAGTCCTCAATTTATGATGACTCATTAAATAACCATTCAAAGTTACTGCAGTCTAGGAAAGAATGTTTTACAGCTCATAAAACATGTAAAACAATAAACTATCCCCCACACCTCCCCACAGTAATGTGACTGCATGTCAGGCACTTGGCAACTAACTAGAATTTAGGACCTGTTGCTAGAATTTAGGACCTGTACCCCAAGATCACGTGACTGCCATTTGCAATCTTTATCTACTGACTTCCCCAGAAAATCAATGGGGAAGCCAGCAGGGAAGGTTGCAAGTGGAGGTTACATAAGGGAGGGGATATCCTTCAACAGATTGCAGACAAGGAACTGAAATATTCAGAATTTCAACTCCATTCCTGTAGCCTCACCCCAAAACGATTTTCCTTCTGTGAAAACAGGGGAGGGAAAATCCTTCAGCGTTTTGCAGGAATGTTTGAGAGCAAAAGAGATGCTTTCTGGGAGATTTCAGATCGTGAGAGTTGAGCTCCTCTCAGCAGGCTGCTCTTTGGCTGTGTTTTGATTTAGTTTGATGTATCAAGTCCTTATATAACAGCAAACCCAGATTTTTCACAGGGAGAGGTATCCCAAGGGATCCTATCTCTATTTTGGATGTGCACTTTACATACTTTGTTTTATATATTGCTGCCCTCCAGAAATGCTGGATTGTATCAATTCCAGTCCTATAAACAACAGTTACAGGGATTCAACCTTGATGCAGCTAAAAAGTCTGGATAAAGAAAATCTGCATGATATTTCATATGATGTATCCTCAAGAATCAAAGGCTAATTATCTCCTCCACTTGTTGGGGTTTTCCACTTTTTAAAAGGCATATTCTCTCCTGCCTTACCAAAAATACTAGCTTTGGCTAAATACAGTAAGATGTGACATTTGTCAGTGAATTCCAGAAAAGTGTTTGGATTCAGTTAATAGAGGGTGGAAAAAAGAACCTAATCTTTTTTTACTTATTAAGTACTTGCTTAGAAAAATTAAGGCTTCTTTTAATCTATTTCTTCCTCCTCAGGTGGGCCAGCACCTCTCTTGATAACCAAACAGAGCCAACTCGTGTATTATATGATGAAGTCCCCTACGAGAAAGTGGAGGTAGTTTATAAAAAGCAAAAATATTATCCTGTTCCCTTTCTTTTTTTTTAATTTCCATGACATCACTATTCTTCCAGCTTGCATGTGACCATCCCTTCCCAGTTGCTTGGCAACTTGTGGGGAACTGTTCCCAGGCAGAAATACTAGGATAAACTGTTTCTATAGTCTAGGGAAAAAACTGGATTTCTTACAGATACCCTTCTTGGTAATGATATTCATGATATCGCGATTGTTTTTGCTCTCTCTTTCCTTTGTGCAGTCAGAAAAACCAGGGTGGCCATCAGGATCCCAGGTGAAGCGGCATGGGTCTTCCTGCAGTGAAAAATCACGTCGTATAGATCCACAAGTTAAAGTCAAGCGTCATGCATCAAGTAGGTTGGATGGGATTCATCTGTCATATCTGGCATTATGCCTTGGATCAACCAACTAAGAAAGAGGGAATGGGGGTGGGGGAGTGGGATTCATCATGAACTCCCATTCTTAAAAATAAAAAGAAATCCAGCTGCATAGGATAAAATATAGAGGCTTAGAACTCATTCCTTGTTTGATGTTTCTGCTTTTGTCAAAGTTTTGATTGCATATGACTTGCATGCTACTTCTTAACGAATAAGGATTGCTTACATCAGGGGTCCCCAACCCCCGGTTTGTGGACTGACACAGGTCCGCGCATGCCAGAAACCGGTCCGCGCAAACAAGCCCCATCCGCAGGAGGCAGGCAGCACGCGAAACCATGCTTCCTCCAGTCTGCAGAAAAACCTCTCTCCACGGAACCAGTCCCTGGTGCCCAAAAGGTTGGGGGCCACTGGCTGACATCTCTGATAATTCAAGAATCCCAATTTGCAGCACTGGGCCAACCTCCTTATGAATTTAAGCAAACACCGCTACTATCTTTTCCCTTTTATAGTGTTTCCTTCTTACTTGGGATATAGGCTTGAAATAGGAAAGTGTGAATGAACGTTCCCAATTTCTTTTTGCAATTTCTTATGATGCTGTAAGAATGCTGGGCAGAGTCCACCTGGGATTCCTGTGCTGCAACGTGATCTTCTGAAATTTGGTCTATGAGAACGGTCTGCTGCCATAGACATTTTCCTAATAGCTATAAATCATTTTATAAAGGATGCTAGGCTAGGCTACAGTTGTAACAAGCTCGTTAGTAATTCATTTATCAAGTGCTAGAAATATCAGTAATAAGCAATTTCCAGAAAACAATAAGGGAACTATGTTGGAAGTATGGAAATTACTGATGACACCTTTGGTTTGGTTTGAGTCTTTTAAGGGGGAATTGTGTCTCTTTGAGCCTCAGCCTCATTCACTTCTTTGCTGCTAAAAGAGAGCTAGACACACTAATCCCCTCAAGAACCTCTCTATTGTATGTGTGTGTTTGTTCAGATGCCAATAATTACAAGTATGGAAAGAACCGGGCTGAGGAAGATGCTCGGAGGTTCCTAACAGAGAAAGACAAGCTGGAAAAGGAGAAGGCGTCCATTAGAAATGAGCTTATTGAGCTGCGTAAGGAAAAGCGGGAACTACGGGAGGCCATGAAGAGCAAATCAGGTACAGTCCTACTTCAAGGGCATTGAGGCAGTGCCTTTTCTATTGTCCACATTATAAAAGCTTGATATTTCAAAAGTCAAGGTTCAATAGGCTTATGGAGATGGGTTTTTTGTTCAATAGTTTTGTTCAATATGTAATAGGATCTACATCTAAGTCTCCTCCTCTGGCTTCTGGAAGATTTTCTTCATTATCAGCTGGCAGACATTTCTATTTGAAACATTGCACCCCACCTGCTATGACCTCCCCAAAACCACCAGTGCTCTTTGACTCCCTCACTTTGAGGGATGAATGAGTTAGATTCACTATGACTGTCTAACTATTGATAAAGAAGAAAAGGTGTCAGGCAATTCCTGCAAAAGATTACAGGGAGTCCTTGGGTTACAATCATTTCTTCAGCAACCATTCAAAGTTATGACAAGGACTTACAAAGGCCCCTCAGAGTTCCAGGTATTACAACATCCCTGCGGTCCTAAGATAGCAATTTCTGATGTTCTCTGCTGGCTTCCCACAAGCAAAGTCAATGGAAAAGCCAGCAGGAAGTTGAAAATCATGATCATGTAAAGTCCTCACTTAATGACCCACGCAGTCCTTGCTTAACAATGGCTAACCAAGACTAAGCAATGCAGTCACAAGATATCATGCTTTACAACCACATCAGCGAGAGTTCCCAACCCTAATTGCCCTCGTAACCTGAGCTCTACCTCTACCTCCACATTATTCAAAGGTAGAGCATGCTTTGCATCTTGTTCCTTCCCATTTAATGCTAGATATATTGCTAAAGTCTCTTCAGTCTGCCAAATCCACACAGCTTCCAACTGATCACTGAAACGATTCCTGCCTTGCAGAGATGAAAGCTCAGGTGTTCCACCTACTGGAAAAACTATGCTTTTCATAAAAAAATGTCAACATTTTTTGGAAGGTAAAGGATAGTAAAATCTTCTATAGGTAATTCTCGACTTACGACCACAATTGAGCCCAAACTTTCTGTTGCTAAGCAAGACATTTGTTAAGTGAATTTTGTCCCATTTTTAGACATTTCTTGTCAATGTTAAGTAAATCACTGCAGTTGTTAAATTAGTAACACAGTTGTTAAGTGAATCTGGCTTCCCTTATTGGCCCACAATGTCTTAAAAGGTCACAAAAGGTGATCACATGACCCTGGGACATTGCAATCGTCATAAATATGAATCAGTTGCCAAGCATCTGAATTTGATCCTGTGACCATGGGGATGCTACAACAGTTATAAGTGTGAAAAACAGTCATAAGTCACTTTTTTCAGTGCTGTTGTAACTTCAAACGGTCACTAAATGAACTATTAAGTCAAGGACTACCTCTTCCTTAGTTCTTTCCAGGGCACTTCTATGCTAGTATTGCTATTGCTAATTTCAAATTGCACATTAGTGAATATAGCACCATGTCTGTTGTGATTATACCAGTGCCACATCCCAAAGTACTTGTAATAATAGAAAGATATGGAGAATTTGAAAGAGGTTGCATGTATAGGAGGACTGGATATCTCAAAGCATAAATATAATGCAGAAAGCCAATGTCTGGACTTTTTGAAACTCTTTAAAAATATACCATATTTTTCCGTGTATAAGATGCTATTTTTTCCTGTAAACACCCTGTTCAAAAATCAGGTGCATCTTATACAAGCGCAGCGTCTTATCACAGAAAAATAATGGTAACCTCCGCAACACAGGGCATGCCTGTGTGGGTTGCCATGCCGCCTGGTGCAGGTGTCAAGCCCCTGTGAGCTTGCCACTAACAGGAGGGGGAGGGGGCAAGATCTTCTGCCGGCCGAACTTCTGGATTTGCTGGCTCAGCTGTTCACCACTCTGCCGAACAGCTGATCAGCGTGGAGAAACTCGCATGCCAGAGCGTCTTATACAAGGGTGCGTCTTATAGATGGAAAAATATGGTATATAAAATGTGGGTGCACCTGTGCAGATTTTAAAATAAAAGATTGCATGGTTATTCTCAGTGTTCTAGGCTGATACTGAATATTAGGCTGAGAAATGATCACAGATCTTGTCACAGAATTAGAAATAGAAGACACCCATAAATATCTCTCATCCAAGTTCAGTAAAAGATGAAGAAAAAAAATATACCCCCTATATCCATTATAAACACACATCCCTAAAACACATTTTTAAAAAGCTAGCATGAAATGAAGTAGGATGAAGGGGGACAAATAACACCAGGAAAATACAGCCACAAACTATTTTCCTAGAACAAGTGTAAAGTAAACAGTCAACAAAGTTATTAATCTATTTTTTCAGCTCTTATCATCAATGTGACAAAAAATAAATTTCATTTTTATTTCCATGTAGTATTGTGGTCCTTAGTCTTCTTTATTCTTTCTTGCTTCTTCTAAGTTTAAAACCACATGTATTACTGGGCTCACTTAGAAGCAAGGGATTAAATGAAAAATCTAGCCCAATATTCTGTTGGGCCCAGGAAATTCAGAGCTAGAAGTTAAATGGAGTAGATTTATCCTCAGGGAAATGGAGAACAAGTTTTGACCAGGGGGCTGGACCAGAAGACCTCCAAGGTCCCTTCCCGCTCTGTTCTATTCTATTTATTATTTATTACTTATATTCTAACTTCAAAATAGACCATTTCTTTATAGTGTGATTTCCCTACATAAATCACACTATTCACAGTTGTCTGTTGTTATTGAACTTTGTTAGGTTCAGTGGGGAACCATTTTGGAAAGACATATGAACTTTGGATTCTACATAGTTTCAATAGTTTCATTCAGGTTTTGCTCATGTACGTTACCCTGTGGTAAGATGCGCAGCAAACAAACTTAATAATAAATAAACATATCCGTGTTGGTAACAGGGAAAGAACTGAAGGAGGTGGAGCAGCGTGTTGCAGCCTTAGAGGAGCAGTGCAAAACCAATGAGGCACGACGGGTGGACCTGGAGCTCAAACTGACCGCAGTGAAAGACCAGTTGAAGCAGTCACTAGCAGGAGGGCCAGCCCTGGGGCTAACTGTAAACACCAAGACTGAAAACAAGGTAAAGAAGTAGCTGCTTGCTTTTCCAACCTCACATTACAAGCCATTTCAACATGAGTAACCTACATAAGGACAAAACAGAAATGATGACAGTCATGAAAATCTTACAGCTGTTTGTTTTGCTGGATATTTACAAAGGCAAATATTTGAAAGAACATGCATTCTTGTGTCATTTTGTATGTTGAAATAAATCCATTGTATCCATAATTTAATGTTTAACTGTGCACTTACTGTGCATCAATAAAACCAAAGTGCCTTTAGATTCTGAGTACACCATCTTTCCACTAAAGGAGAAACAAAAGGCATGTTGTGGGTTTATAAATGTGAATAACTCTGTTTTGTATCATTTCCTACAACCCTTAGCAGCAAACGTACAGTCTATTTTGCCAGGGTTTATATTTTACTGAATATTTTTTAATCTACAAGTTTCTTCTGTAGGCACCTGCCTTTGTTACAGCATGTTTAGTGAGACACATTGCAAGAAGTTTGAAGAAGACATAGTGTAGATGTGGGTCTTCTCTCTTCGTACACTGCCCCTGCATGTTCAGCCGAAATTATTGCAAGGTGGTATTGCCCTCTGAACTTTCAGGAGATGCAACATCTTGGATGACTCTGATTTTCTCAGGCATCTCTCTGGAAGAGGGAGATTAGCTGACTCTTGGGGAAGTACGCAGAAGCCACAATAATTGAAACTAGAGATACCATTTTAGGGTGCTTATAGAGAGGATAAGCCAAGATATTCCATGATAGAAAGGCATCCGGGAAAGTGCCACTGGCAAACATGGGACAAGATATCAACACATCCTTCAGTATCATAGAGATAGTGATTGCACAAAGAGCAATTATCCTTTTCATTTCACTCCTTTATTTGTTTCAGAGAAAGAAGGTACCCTTTTTTAGGGGAGTCAAGGAATAATGACCATACACTACTAAATATACATAATAATTGTAAAATCGTAACAGCTTATTAATGATATTCATTTAATAAATCTTTGCATGATATGGGAAAACAATTTTTTTTGTGATGTTGAAAAATATTTAAAAAAAAGCAGGTGTCAGACAAACCTCCCTAAGGAGAACATTTCAAAGATAGTTTAACCTAGGACATCCTAACTGAGAATGCTGTCCCTACTCACCAGGCCTTTAAAGGTAGAGGCAGCTTTTGTCACTGGCCGATTTATGTTGGAGAAGGTAGTTCTTTCCATTCCTAATTTTCTTCACATAGATAAACAGCGCCTAGGGAGTAGCTCCTTGAAATAATAAGCATCTGTCTTCTTCCAGTCTTAACAAAGTTTGCCAAATATTTTGAGATTAAAACATTCTGATCCTGAACATTCCCCAGAGATTAGAACAGCCTGGCTGGATCTCATCCAGTGTGGAACAAGCTGTTCCAAGGTCATCATGGCATTCCAGGATTGAAACATTTTGACTTTGAAATGGCACACCTACTGTATACGGCAGTGATGGCGAACCTTTTAGAGACCGAGTGCCCAAACTGCAACCAAAACCCACTTATGTATCATCAGGTGCTGGGTGGGCGTGGCCCATTGGGTGGGCGTGGCCCATTGGGTGGGTGTGGCTGCAGTAGTAACGGCAGACTGGGTGGGACTAAAAAGTTCAATCAATCAATTCCAACTTTGCGATATCTTTTTTTTTCCCGCGAGAAGTTGAACTTGATTGATTGAACCTCTTTTTTTTTTGCACATGGCGGCGGAGGCCTAAAGGAAAAGGTTTTATAAACCCAGCTGAAGGCCTAGGACTGGGGCAACGGCACGCATGCCCACCGAGAGGGCTCTGCGTGCCACCTGTGGCATGTGTGCCATAGGTTCGCCACCACGGGTATATAGCCTTAACTATTTGTCATATTACTTGCCTTTTTACAGGACACTGTTACTCAGCCAAATGGAACCCCCCCAGAGAATTTGGTCCCAGTTAACTGTGCAGCAGAAATGAGGAAGCGAAGCCCCTCTCTCCTTCCTGCCAACAAAGGGACTGTGTTGCAGAAAGCAAAGGTATGGAGTCCATCTTCATACAAGAATATCAGCCCTTTCCTTCTCCATAAATTCAAAGTCCTTCTATTATATCCCTTTCACATAACCTACTGCTTCCAACTGGTTTATAACTAGCCTATTCTGTGGTCCCTATCCCACTACTGCCTTGAATATATTGGGAAATGAACAGTGGTGGGGTTCAAATATATGAACAACCGGTTCTCTGAGTGGATGCCACTTCCAGAAGTCCATTCTGGGCCCGGGCAACAAAAAATTAGCTACTGGTTCTGCCGAACTGGTGCGAACCAGCTGAATCCCACCACTGGAAATGGGCGCATAGAATGGCTTCCTTCACCTTCTCTCTTTCTCAAGAATAATTTCTCAATTTGCCTCCAGCAATGCTGGCCACAATTAGTAGAGAATTTAGATAAGGGACCAAGGATCGACCTTCCTCCAGCCATGTTAAGTGAGTTATGTCTGTGAAAGAGATTGGAGAGTAGGTGTGCAAGCTGCCCTCTTTTGCCCACACCAAAAAATAGCCTACGTTTCGGTCTAGAAGGGCTAAGCAGGGTGGTGTCGTTTCAGCTCCTCCACCCTCAGTGTTTCTGATTTAATGGTCTCCGAATGATTCCAACAAGCAGGTTACTGCACTGCCAGTTTTTCTGGCCTAGTTACAAACCTCACATTGGTATAGTCAAAGCCATTCACCGTGAGGCTATTGTCTCAGGCAACTGTTGCTAGACAGCTGGGTGCGCCAACTTGCCTTCTTTTGAAAAGAAATTCAGATGCTAGATCCTGTCAGCTCTACACATCAAATGGAAGGATGCCATCTTGCCTTTTGCACATAGTACAGCAAAGGTAGGGCCAGTCCTGTCAAGAGTTTGATGACTTTTGTGGCAAGGCAAAAATATATTATCTCTTTATAGAGATATGATATTTCTATAATAGAAAATATATAGTAAATATTTGATCACAAATTTTGATGAGAATGATGTTGGTGAAAAAGCAAGTTACAAAAGTCCCTAAAGAACTCCTCAGCAGCATCCAAAGGATATTTGAAGAACAATATTTATCCTGGGTACATAACTGTGCCTCACTAAAATTTTGCCTCCATTATGAAAGTTCAACTACTAGACCCAAGATATCTATTCTGGCTTCAGGACTCAGTTTCCTCATTCCTTTCTTCAATTTATTCAAGCTTGGATATCTCCTTTGTAACTCCGTGGCCCACAATGTTGCTTTTTTCCTTTTTCTAGGAATGGGAAATGAAGAAAACATAAAGGATCTCTGGACCTTCATCCCTGAGATGAACTCCTCTCAAGTACAGGGACACTCTTGAGAAAGACTAAAGCACCACAAGAGTCTTTCACCCTGCAAAGAAATTGCAGAATACTGAGGAACTTGGTTTCTCCACAGTGAGAGCAGCCAACTTCCACTAAATGAAGGATTAAACAAACAGAAGAGCTTTTGAAAACTGGCGTGGGTAACGGAGGGAGGGGGACTTTGGGAAACAGGGTGGGGGAAGAGAAATCTTTTCAAGGATTTGTTTGTTGTGTGTGTGTCCTTAGAGTACTCTTTGTTGAGTGGCCTAAGAAGAGCAACTCAGTAGGGTTGGCCTGCCAAGCATCAGGACTGATCCTTTTGCTCTTGGTAATAAAGCAACCAGAGTATAGATATTTTAATGATGGGGATGATGATGATGGTGGTGATGGTGGTGGTGGTGAATTTCTTCGGAGATCCTCATTCAAAAAAAAATAATCATCTAAAACCTTGGACAAATCTTGTTGCAACTTCTCACACACAGGAAACCAGATGAATATCGCTCAGTGCTAGGAAATGAGGCATGACATGGAAGTGCCTTAATCAGTCCTCTTGGAGGATATTATTTAAGCCCCCCGATTCTGTCAGCCTGATTCAAATCTCATTTTTTTCTGCCAAACCATATCGGGGCAGCAACTGTTGAGTAATGAGGGCACAATAGAGTCCCAAAGAGAGAAGGCCTAGTCAGAATGATATTTTTTAACTCAGGACTGCCAATTAGGAATATTCTCACAGTCTCTCTCTCTCTCTCACACACACAGGCTGCTATTTAAGATGTTCAATGTGTTAAATACGATCAGTAATGGTAAGAGGACATGGAAAGTTTTCTGGGTTTGATTTGGTTTTACCCAAGACAGATTATGTCATTCTGCCTCAACTATTTGTACAATACACCCTTCCATTTTTTCTATGTAATCCAATTTGTAATGAGAAAGAACAGTGAAGAAATTGATGGCTAAAGCAAGAAAATCAGCTTCTGCAAATGTATATAAATTGCTCCAGAGCTATATCTTAAAAGGTGCTACCTCTGGTCAATGGGACTGCTGCTGAAGGACTTCCCCCATAAATCAGCCACTGGAAGATGTTACGCTTGTTCATAAGTTATCTTCTACTCCCATTTCCAAGAAAAATCCTTCTTTAAGGGAGCAGTGGACAAGTTCATTTTACATTCATTTTGCACTACATGAAGGTTCAACTGCCTTAATGAGCATAAGGTCTCTGGTCAGTTTTAGGCTTACTAATTCCTGGAAGATGTGAAGAAAACCAAAACTGGAGCACAGCCTGAAGAGAAGACCCCCAAGGAAAGCCCCAATCAATTACCTTCCTGCTGTGCTATTCCAAAAGACCAGAAGATATAGTGGTTTGTCTTTCATTCACAAACACTAAGTAATAGGTGCTTTTTTTTCTTTCTGGATGCATATTGTGACATATCTGATTATTTAAGAACTGTCTGCACTTTAACATCTGGATCCTTTGCTCCACTCTCTTTCAATAAAATATGATCTCTGTAAAGAGCAGTATGTATTCTTCAGTTTTTCTTCAAACTCTTAGGGCAATGTTGGGTTGCAAAACCATACACTGCATCAGTCTTGCCCAATTTTGTACTTTCCAGATCTACTTGATCTGCTCCCTTAATTCACCATGAGCCTTTGCACTGATCATGCTGGGAGAGGCTTATGGGAGCTGATCTAACATTTGTGAAACATCAGGTTGGAGAACACAAAACCAAAGCTACAGATCCATCACAGACCCATCACTTAAAGCAAACTAAGTTTGGTGTCATGGTGAAAGTGTGCTGGCCTAGAAACCAGGAGACTGTGAGTTCTAGTCCTGCCTTAGGCACGAAAGCCAGCAGGGTGACTTTGAGCCAGTTGCTATCTCTCAGCCTAACTCGCCCCACAGGGTTGTTGTGGAGAAAATAGGAAGGAGTGGGGAAGGATTATTAGGTATGACTGCTGCCTTGATTTACTTATAATAAAAGTGGGATAAAGAATAGATGGATCTTAAGGTAACAATCGAAATTGATCTACTAGACCAGAACATGGGTCAGTAACAGATTCTTGGCGACTGAAGAGGCAAAGCAGTGGAGCTAAGCTCTGAGACACTAACACTTTTCACAGTATATTGGCTATCCAGGTCTTCTGAACTCTTGCTTCAGTTAGAATACTGCTCTAATTATATTTATATCTATAGCTGACTTTTTCAGAGGAGATAATGTGGCAGCTTTATGAAGAAGGGAGCTCTTCTCTAATTTTATTCTCACAAAGATAACCCTAAGAGGTGGGTTGCACTAAGATACCGTGTTTCCCCAAAAGTAATCCCTAGCTTGATTTTGGTGTGTGTGGGGGGGGGTTGGGCCTAATATAAGCCCTACTCCAAAAATAAGCTCTAGTTTTGGGGTGAGGCGCACGCCTAAAAATCAAGCTAGGGCAAGGGTAGGTGGGTGAAGCTGCCCCATATGCCCCACTTACCGTATATTATCGGTAGGACCGCCGCAGCCAGGCCTCCCACGCCCTGACACTTGTCAAGCTGTATGGCTCATCACACCAGTGCCACCGCTTGCGGCAGGTTGCACAGTGCTTTGCGCCATTTCTGCTGCTCGCGGCAGGACACCGCACAGCTCTTCAGGCTGTTTCTGCTGCTCGCAAGAAGCCTCACAGCGCTTCAGGCCATTTCTGCTGTTCGCGGCAGGACACCGCGTGCCTCTTTGGGCCTAGGACACCACACAGTGTCCTGCCACGAGCAGCAGAAACAGCCCAGAGCGCCATGTAGCTTCTCGCCACAAGCAGCAGAAGGTGCAAAGCACCATGCGGCCTCCTGCCATGAGTAGCGGCAACAGCGCAATGCACCACACGGCATCCCGCCACAAGTGGCAGCAAACAGACATAGAAATAAAGCAGCAGCGCGACAGGTGTTGGGGTGTGGGAGGCCTGGCTGTAGTGGTCCTAAGGTAAGACATTCTCCGAAATTAAGACCTAGTGCCTCTTTTGGAGGCAAAAAAAATATAAAACTGGGTCTTATTTTCGGGGAAACGGTAACCTACATATAGTCACCCAGTGAGATCTGAAGTCACAAAGAACTGAAGTTGGATCTAATGGGTCAACCATCGCAATACAGTAGTTCTAGTGTAGGTTAAGCTAAGCCTATTGTATCTGGGCTGCAATACCTCCAAAAGGCAAGAGACACAGAAAAATCGGATTGCCAAACAAAGATCATCGGACTTTTCACACTTCAGGTACTAGTCAGAAGTCACGGAGGGCAGAGCTGAGAAAAAGCAGATGCACACCCACAACAGCGGAACTTGCTGAAACCCAGGTAGCTGATTCAGCTCCTCGAGTCTTATGACGACTCACACTCGCTTCCTCCTAGAAAATGTGCCCTAAAATGGTAATTTCTTCGACAGCATATCATTTACATATAATTCTTGGCGCAAGAAACAATTCCTAGGATGCTTGAAAAACGAAGGGAGCCGAATGGGGTCGCAGAACCAAGGAAAGCCTCTCAATTCACATACAATTCAGTCTGCTACAACAATGTCGAAACCAGGGAAAGTATTACAACCGATCCAACAGGAAAGCGCCCGTGCAATATTCCTCTTAGTTGGCTGAAGAGGAAACCATACCAGCCCGATTTTTGCCTGCTAACATCTAAACCAGGGGTAGGCAATCTCGGCTCTTTTATGACTCGTGGACTTCAACTCCCAGAATTCCTGAGCCAGCATAGCTGGCTCAGGAATTCTGGGAGTTGAAGTCCACGAGTCATAAAAGAGCCGAGGTTGCCTACCCCTGATCTAAACCTAACACCCTCTTCCTTCCCACGAAGTCCCCGCCCTAAGGGCGGAGCATTTTTTACCGCGAGGCCTGGCGGGAGTTGCAGTCTGAGCTTTAATCAAAGGCGCAGTGGCCGCCGGTTGTTGTAGTCGTTCGAGTGTTCTCATTTTCTCCCGTGAGCGTCTGGAAAGCCGCTCTGTCCGTTTCGCTCAGTGTGACCGAGGCGGCGGCGGTAATGGCAGCGGGCAGGTCTGTGCGAGCGGCGCGGAGTTGCTTGAGCCCTTTTTGGCTCCACTTGAATTACCCTCCGATCCACTCCAACAGGTAAGGGGGGGCCCGGTCATTCTTTTATCCATCGTCTTTGGCTTTCGGGCTGGTTCTCCTCCACCGCGGCGGGCTCTTGCGCCGGGACGGAACGGGCTAGTCGCTTTTTCTTGCCGGGGGGGCTGGTTTGAGAAGAAGGCGGCTTTTCTAAAACGTGCATGAGGTTGTGGACGGGCAGCTCTGTTTGCGTGGCTATTTGCGTGGCTATTTGCAGGCAGGGAGGATGCTTCGATTTAAATCGCTTCCCCTTGGACGCCCCCCCCCCTCCCTGCGGCTCTCGGAGAAACACGAGGCGATGCCTCCCAGATCCTCCCCCCCCCCGCTGTGGTTTTCCTCGCCTGTGCTCAGGAATGGCATCCAGCCTTCAGCACTAAGAGGGGGGCGCGCATCCTGGCTCCCGGCTGCATCTTTTTGCAAAGCGGCCCCTTCCCAAGAATTTGGGTTCACTTGTCTTGAGTTTCCTCCTCCTCTGCAGAGAAATGGGGGGGGGGGGGAAGAGAAATGCTGGCAGCTGCTGGACTTGAGTCGTTTGGGCGGGCGCTGAATTGCTGCTGGAACTCCCTAGAGTCCAGGGGTAGGCAACCTTGGCTCTTTTATGACTCGTGGACTTCAACTCCCAGAATTCCTGAGCCAGCTATGCTGGCTCAGGAATTCTGGGAGTTGAAGTCCACGAGTCATAAAAGAGCCAAGGTTGACTACCCTTGCCCTAGACGGCCTTTCTTGAGATGGCTGCGAAGATCGGCGGGTCGCCTAGCTTTAAGAGCAAGGCTGTGTTCCATCCCTCTTTTCAATCGGGTGAAAGAGCCATTTTGCTCAGTGTGGGTGTGGAGGAAGCAGGGAGGGGGAGAGGCGACATTCGTTTCGCGTGACTCCTTGCAGTTTACGAGCCAGAAGCGAACATATCTGAAAATCGCTCTTCCCACCCACGTGGCCTTTTCACCTTTCTTTTCTCTACCTTCTCCCTCTGCACAGGCTTGTTTCTACCTGCACGCTTTAAAATGAGCTACTATTTTAGAGCCCCCAATTTTCACGTTTACTTCCTCCACTTTGGTATTTGATCTCAGAAACTGCCTGAAAGCAGGAGAAATCCCTCCAGAAGAGAGTTGGGAAGGAGGGGGAGGGTCGGACTTGGGGAGAGGAGATTTTCAATGAAAAGACCAGGCTGGGGTTTTTCTACCACATGTCTTCAGCTGCTTCCAGGTTTTCTGAGCAGCTCACAAACCAAACACAATATTAAATATTAAACCTGTTCTATTAAGGTATAGTATGTAAAAGGCTAAGCTTATCCTTGTGATGCAAAGGTAACGTTGATCTCCAAATGAGTGTTTGCAGGCAAATGCTCTGAATATGCTGATTAGAGTAGCCATTATGATAGAACCATCTAATCTCTTTTGTTGCTATTCCAGTCTCTGGTATCTCTTTAACTGTATACTTGAAAGTTAAAATTAATTGATCAACATAAATATTTAAAATGACACTTGATTTCAGAGGTACTAATATTAGAATAACATGGACAAAATCTCAATGAAGACTCATCCAGGCCAAAGGTATCTAAAGGTTGAATCATGGCAACTGGATCAAACTTCGTTAATCTGAGATGTTTCGTTGCTCATCTGAGCAACTTCATCATGCAAAGTATTTTGGGAAGAAACCTCTGAAGTTGGTGTGGCAAGAATTGGTACATTCCAATGACTCTTTGCCTAACTTTGTTTTGATTGATCAGGTTGCTTGGATGAGTAACAAAACATCTCAAATTAACAAAGTTTAGTCCAGTTGCTATGATTTAATCTTTAGATAACGGGCAAAACTTTCAGCCAGTTGAACATTTATTCAGAAACTTAAATAGCTATACTGTAAAAAAACAAGAAAGTAGAGTTTTTGATGAATTATTTGATTATATTGTGGGAGTGTGCTTAATACTGAATAAGAGCATGTTTTGTGTAGAGTATGTATTTTTGTTGAACAGTGTTAATAATATACATTTATTTTATATGTTCTCTGAAGGCAAAACACTTCTGATTGCAAATGGTCTTAATACAGTGATAAAGTAGGGGGTGGGGCTAGAATATCAGGACTCAGGCTGGAAATAGTACCATAGATCTCCCTGAAACAGTTTTGAAACCCAAATTCACAATCAAAACATTTAAAATACTGTTGATGATCAACATGAGTTTTAAAAAGTTTCAGTAGTTGGGCTTAAATCTTTGGAATAGTTGTTGAGTTTGTTCAGGTAGGTTCAGACACTATATATTTTTCAGCAACTCCATTGTTCTGCAACACCAACTACTACTGGTAAGCAAGCTATGCATATTAATGTAGAGCATAATTTATAAATGAGAAAACAATTTTTAGGAGCTTTTGTTAAGTGCTGAGTTATAGTGTCCTCCAATTATCTACAACAGCATTATATTGGCATGAAATTTGCTGATCCTTTTCCTGCCTCTATTCCCTCTGTTTCACCTGAGTTCCCACCAGACATAAAACATAGCAGATTTTAAACATTTTGATGTCTTTAAATGATATTAAAATAAGATGAGCATGCTGCTATGGATAAATAAGGCCTGTCTAGCTCATGGGCCAAGGACTAGATGAGGGGTGGGCAACCTTGGCTCTTTTATGACTCGTGGACTTCAACTCCCAGAATTCCTGAGCCAGCCATGCTGGCTCAGGAATTCTGGGAGTTGAAGTCCACGAATCATAAAAGAGCCAAGGTTGCCCACCCCTGGAAAGGCAAGATCATGGAGTCATGCCAGAAAAATATATGTAGGGACGTTTGTGTCATTGTTAATTACAAATAGGGAAAATACCATGTACACACCCAGTATATGTATATGTGCCTTCTCTGCCATGATTCCTATCTTATGGAATATTCTTCCCTCTTCCCCAAAATTAGATTAGGTCCATCCTTTTGACATTCCCAGAGTCCCTCAAGAACAGGCTATGTCATCAGGCCTGGGGCTTCCAGGGACCTGGACCTCCATTGCTAAGAGACTTTTCTTACCCTCTTAGAGCAGTGTTTTTTATTTGCTTTTATGATAATATTTTTAAATCTGGATTTTATAGTTTTATATTTCTTGTTTTTATCAGTGTTGTTATCTGATTGTTGTATGCTGCCCAGAGTTGTGGTTTGTTTGATAGGTGACTATACATATTTGAGGGAAAATACTTCACATAGGTTCCATGCCTGTGTGTCCTGGACACACAGATGAATAAACCAAAGTAGCAAAAAAGCAAACTACTTATCCTATATGTAAGTAAATGATTTTACAGCAAATTCTATAGTTAAACATTGAACTTCCCTTTTGAACTTAGTAAAGGATTGTCAAATACCTAGCATGTGATAGACTTATGTCAGCTGTACAAATATCTATGTTACAAAAGACATGTGCATTCCCCAGTAACTTAGATTTCAACACCATTCTGAGGGTATGTTGTTCAATTTTACTGAGGATGTTCACCCCAGTGTATCAAATATATTATCTCTTGGAGATGATTACTGATCAAATTAAAAAGCTTTCTGCCAGTTACTTATCTCCATTGTCTGTCTGATGGCAGAATGCCTGAAGCAGGGCTTCTAGAACAAACAGAATTCCTAGGCAGATTCATACAGAAGGAATCGACTGTTGAGATTTCAAACTTGGATTTTTAAAATTTAGAAGATCAGAAATTCACCATCCTCTATCTATGGGTTGCTAATACTTAGAAGTATCTACTCTCTACTCAGAACTAACCGTATTGAATCAATGGAAGCTTTTGTATTCTTTTCAAAGATAGCCTCATCACACAGAGCACAGCACTGTACATGAATCTGTTCTAGAATTGGAAGTGATATGGTAATTAAAAACACAAGAGAGCTCACTGTGATTTAATGTTTTGGAATATCTGACTTGTTACTCTGACAAAGTAATTTCTCAGACTCAGTTGAAAATAGTGGTCCTACTCTAGCTGTTTTGTCAATCAGGCAAGTCCCTTAAGAATTGCCTTTCTTCCTTCTTTTCTTGTAACTATGGTTCACATCCAAGGCTCAGATAAGTAATGCAACTTAAATATGTCACCATTTAGACAGGTTTTTCTAGCTCCTGATACATATGACCAGGTAAAGACACAAGACAGCTCTTTTATGTATATATTAAGTATTTTTAGGATCTGGCCCTAAAGACTGAAGAAGATTGCTTATTTGAAATAGCAAGAAGTGTTATAAATTAAGCAGGTATGTGTTGCAATGCAGAATTTACTGAGCTGGTAAAAGAGTGCATGTCTAGACAGTGATTTGCTTTAAGTAAATTTTTGGCAAAGACTCCTTCAAACTCACTGTCACGCAATAAACAGCATGTGCAGTTATGTTCAGATATAAACAGCCAGCGAGAAAATGTAAGCATTTAAAGGGCAGCTTGTTTTAGAGAGGAGATTTATGAGCTGTTCTGAATGTTTGTGAACTTATTTTAAGCTTGTGTCCTCTAAGTGGCTGCCTCACTAATCTAAGCCTCATTCAGGTGTTTGCCTGAACCTGTGGAGAAGAAATGTGGCTGCACATACAGTCCTGACCTGCCCTTCTCCAGCTTTTCTGCCTTCAAATGAGACAGCTGGAGGGGGCCTTTGTGCTAAGAATTGAGATAATTCAAGGGATCGGGAATCCTACTTATCTGCTATTAATTTGGCAGGTTTCAGATTTTAGTTGATTTAATTACTTTTCATTAATTGCAGATTAAATATGCTTCTGGAAAAAGCAGAAAAAAATTAAAAGGCAAAATACTCTCTGGTGGTAAATTCCCATTGCAGTTTATTATATGGCATGAGACCAACCATCTATTAAGCCAGGCCTGTCCAACCTTTTGACTTATCTGCGCTGCATTGAGTGAAGAATTAACTTAGGCTGCATACAATTATAAAATGTTAAAATTTATCATCTTGTGGAAATGCATTTCTAGCTGTCCAGGACCACATGCACCCGATGGGCCATGGAGTGTACACCCCTATACTAAATTATAACCTTTCTTTTAGCAAAATATATCACCTTTGTTTGTATATTTCGAAAGAAAATTCCTCTTCTGTCCATGGAGATTTATTCATGCACAAGCGGTCTTCATTTGGCAACTACAGTTGGGATTGGCAACTCAGTTGTTAAGCAAAGCAAGTGAAATTGCAACTGTGCTTATGATCTTACTTCAGCTTTCCTTTGCAAAGGTCATATATGCAAGAATTGGTCACAAAATTAATTTGTCATCACCACTGTAACTACAGTCGCTGTATGAGGCAGGCGTTAAAGAAGAATTACCTGTATTAAATGAGTATATAAATGCATACTTGATATGTAAATTATATACATATGTAAGTGACTCTTAGGGAACGTTTTGGCATTATATATATATATATATATATATATATATATATATATATATATATATATATATATATATATATATATATATATATATATATATATATATATATATATATATATGTGTGTGTGTGTAAAAGGCAGGGGTAGCAATAGAGAAGACATACTTTGGCCCACACAATGAACATGTTTAAATGAATGAACCTGGAGCACATCCACTCTGCCAGAATGTACTCTAGCAGGCACAAATAATTGGAGATAGGCAGACTTTGAGACAACCAGGCCCTATGTTTTGAAGGACATTATAGGTGATAGCCAGCACCTTAAATTGCACATGGAAGCAAGCTGGCAACCAATGCAACTTTACGGGTTGCTGCTTACACAGCTGCATTTTGAACTTCTTGTAGCTCCTGGATGGTCTTCATAGGTAGCCCAATGTGGAGTACATTGCAATAGTCCAGTCATGAGGTGACCAGGATATGAATGACTATCTGAAAGGCCTCTCCTTTGAGGAAATTTTTATTTAATAGTTAGTAAATTGTTATCAGCAGCTGGAAGTAAAACTATGTGTATATGTGTAATGGGGAGGAGGGAGTGTGGAATATAACCTTTACTAATGCTTTTTTTGTTTTGTTTTTCCCTTTAAAAATTGGCTGGAGAGGAGAAATAAAATTAACAAAATCCTAAAAGTTAAGGATTTTATAGGCTGGAAGAGATTGGCTGGAAGTCTGAACTATATTCCACATTGCATTCTTATTAATTAATGTCTGGCTTCACAAGCTCACTTGCTGCTATCCTTATTGCCCAAATTATTAGCATAACCTGTCAATGGGCTTTAAAAAAAATCAGTTGCCCCCACTCAGTTATCATTAGCTGAATTGCAATATCTAAGCATCTAAAAGATATTGAGGAAACTGAAATTAGAATTCCAAATAACATTACCACATCTAATTAAATGCCTATGTGACTATCATAAGGATTCCTGTTGGTGCAGCTGATAATGAAAAGTGGATTCAGGGCCTATTCATTACTGCACGTGTGGTTCTACACACAAAGAAACAGTGGCAAAACTGAGTTTTCCTTATCAAAAGCAAAGTAATGTCTTTTTGTTCACTCTGATTTTGTATATTGAGTTCTATTTTCTCAGAAAATTTGTATATCTAAATTTGCTACAGCTATTTCTCAGCTGAGTGAAGTCACCTCTGCTGAACAATAAGAGTATATATAGCTGACTATTGCGTTACACAGGATATGGATAGAAATATAAATGTCTTATTCTACAAAGGATTCTAAAATTCTAATAAGCATAGAAAATAGATGCCTGCTCTGTGTTTCCATTTTGTTGATCATATACACATTGTTAGGTCATTGTGTAATTGTAAACATTTTCTTGTGTTGTAAATGATAAGGTGTGTAGGACTGTCTCCTTCCTTGTCAGCCAGTTGCTTATGTTTCGTATGCCTATGTCTTGAAGGTGCTAGACAGGAAAAAAAACTATCATGGTAGTTAATGTCCTTTGATAATCACAGAGTACTATCTGTAAATCAGGAAAACCTGAATCAAGTTTCCAGACTAAGTTGAATGTGCCTAGCTATTCATTTTTCAATCTAATTCTGTGAATAAGTCCTTTTTAGATTGGCAAAAAAAGTAAACAAAATATCCTTAACTTGTAGTACAATGCTAAGGCTAGATTCTTTGATAAAATCCAAAAGCTTTGCAGCCATCCCAGTTAATAAGTGAATCTATATTTTTAAAATAAAGATGAAATGGAAAGGCTTTTTGCAAATGTATATTTCTCTACATTTTTGGTCTTTATGTTGTTTCAGAGGTTTGCTCTTCGCCTTCAGTACCGCTGCACAACAAAAGAGCACAGGGGATGATTGTGGCCCAGAAGATCCTCAGAATGAACCTAGACAAATCTTGAGGGGGGGAAATTTAGAGCACAAGACCATCAAGCTAGAAGAACAACTCCGTGTCTTAACAGTAAGTAACTTTTTGGAGTTTGATTTCCTGAATAAGGGACTGCACATCTACATTTCTGTGCACTTTCTTAAAGATTCAGCCCTATAACTTATATAAAGTATTTTTTTAATCTATGGGACCATATAGAACATTTGTCATTGACTAAAGCTTAATAGTGCTGCATCTATCAAATTGCAACTGAAATTGAACATGAATTATAAATACATTGTTTCAAATAAAATAGCCAAAGATCAATTTGGCTATGTCTGGCTTCTCATTCCACAGTGGGAATGAACCCACTTGATAACTATTTTAGTCCACCAGGATGCTAGTGGAAGAGATGAAGGATACTGAGAGATCCAAGAAGAGGGAGTAGTTAACAATTTATATCTTCTGTATAGGGCAAGGGTGTCAAACTCGCAACGTCAAGTGACGTGCCGCAATGTATTGTAACTTTTTTCCCATTGCCAGCAATGGGGTGGGCGCGGTTTTGCTATGAAGAGTTTTATTGGCCCTAATGAGCAAAACCCAGGCAAGACCATGGAGCAGCCTGGGAATTTGGGCAGCAGCAGTCTCTTCCATCTCTGACCAAGCTACAGTTGTATGAACATTTGATGTTATCATAGATATACTGGATACAGCAGAAGAACATAATGATATGACAGCCCCTCAAAGTTGACTAGATCAAGAAACAAACTCACAAAATGTTTAGAACTCTACTTTATTGAGATAAGCCACTATAACAGAAACTTGCAAGCCTGACTGGTTTTCCCTCTTATACCAGAGGGAGTCAAGGTGGAGTCAGTTTGAGTCACTTCCTAAAACATTCTGGCTCTGAATAGTTTCTTCATGGTCATCTCTGTGATTCCCCACCTGATGACAGATCTCTCTCTAGACTGTCTATAGTTGCAGCCAGATTTATGGCAACAGAAACCATTGTATTGGCAAGATTTATAGCTTAGGCATTGTAAGATGGACCACAGATTGAAAGATGGTCTCAGTAAAACACGATGAAGCTGTTCAAAGAGACAGTTGAGTTGCTCATGAAATCCAAGGTTAAGACTTTTTCCTATAGCCCAACAAGGCAGTAGAGAGTACTAACACACCCTGGTGGCATCATGACCAAAAGGACTACTCTTTGCACTCCTGCTTTCTTTCCTTGTGCTATACAAGATGATGTGTAAAGGAAGTTACCCAAAACACAGTTGATTCTAACAACCTTGGCGCTAGGGGGCCATAGCTTTATGACATGGTGCAGATGAAAGCAACACCAATGGTGCCTTTTAGAACATTTGGATATTCTGTCTCAAGCTACTGGTCCAGAGTAGCTACAACCTCATGCTTGGAAGCTAAATAAGATCAGTTGCTGAATATGGATCTTCCACGTTTGTGGTAAAACCACCTTGGTCACCAGATAACCTGCTCCAAGAATGGTAATACAAAAAACCAGAAACTTGTGACATGTGAACAAGAGTTCTTGGAAGTATTGAGTTTCCTACAGATTGGAGAGAGGGCTATGATGCATAGACAGGCATCTGCTTAAACTGTTTTTTTGGATGAGCAAAGGCCACTGCTTATCTGGAAGAAGGCCTTTTCTCTCTGCTTCGCAGGTAGGGAAGTTAAGGACATCCTTGGTTATCCATGTGTTTCATGACCCAAGTCATCTATAGCTAGATTTTTCCATCATTCTGAAGATCAGTTCTCAGATTACATTATGCACTAGAAATTGTACTTCTCAAAATCAGTCCAAATCCAGCCAAGCCTATAAAACAAAATGGCTCGGACTAAATAGATGCAGGGTTCTTAAGAATCTACTAATCATAAGGTGGAGAGCAAAAATACTACCACCTTTATCTCCTACAAAATTTCTCACTCTACATTTGGCATTCAAGTTGGAAAACACATTGCCATGGTGTATACAGCCAGCAAGAGACAGCCTCTTTCCTTCCTTCATAGCAATTCTGTAAGAGACACAGCTATCCAGGTGGAACTAGTGGAACTTTATAAGACATTATAAAATAAATAAATTTCAACTTATTTGATGCTAAATTGTTATTGGGAATACTGCTGTAGTATGTCATTTTCCTGTATACTGTCTCCAATGAGCAAGAATAGTAGTTGAGTTTTCTCTGTTGTATCTCTCTGGTCACTGGAAGATGGAACTGACAAATCCCACCCTATATAGCAGTGATGGCGAACCTATGGCACGGGTGCCAGAGGCGGCACTCAGAGCCCTCTCTGTGAGCACATGCGTGCCATCACCCCAGTCCTAGGCCTTCAGCTGGGTTTTATAAAACCTTTTCGCTTTAGGCCTCCGCCGCCATGTGGAAAAAAAAAAAAGGTTCAATCAGTCAATTTCAACTTCTCATGGGAAAAAAAAAGATCTTGCAAAGTTGGAATTGATTGATTGAACTTTTTAGTCCCACCCAGTCTGCCGTTACCACCGTGGCCACGCCCACCCAATTGGCCACACTCAGCCAATGGGCCACACCCACCCGGCACTCGAGGATGCATAAGTGGGTTTTGGGGTTGCAGTTTGGGCACTCAGTCTCTAAAAGGTTCGCCATCACTGCTATATAGAATAGAAGAGGATTAGGAAACTAAACAGGGTTAGGATATGAGCTACTTGTCTTTCACTAACAGTTACGCATTCTTCCATCTCCATGTGTCTTAACAATTTTGTTATAGTGGAATATACAATAAAGGAAGAATTGAACCATACTCAGCGGAAGTCAATACATGTGACTGAAGGGAAGGAATTTCCTTCATGGGACAAGAAGTCTTAAGTCCAGCTTCTAGCTAGAAGAGGCGGAGTTAACCTTTTCTTGTCCTGGCCATCTTCCAGTGACTTACTCCATGGTAAGTCCAACTACTGTTTTTGGGCAGCAAGTGAGAAAGAAGTCTGCAGAGTTTAAAGTTCCCTTTGAGACTAGCTTGACTCCTGGACACTTATAGGATACTTCCAAACAAGTTTCTTGGCATGATTAAGAAGAACTGCCTTTTAGAATTTTTGTTTTATTTTATTTTTCGCTCTCTCCATCCTTACCCATTTTCTTGTTCATTGTCTTGGCACTCACAAGTAGAGTTCTCATCTTTGCTTAGCTTTCTAGATCATCCACCCATGCTATCTGCTGAGGCTACTGAAATAGCTTTTAAATAACTTTGCTGTCTATTACCTTGGCAGTAATGTTTTCTTCTTGCACGCCTTGTATCACAGTTATAAGAAACAATTTATGTAAGAGCCCCGTTTTCTCATTTTTCCAATTTTGTTATTGCTGTTGTATTGCATAACAGTTGCATATTGATCTATGTCAGTGGTTTTCTCAAGACCCATTTACATTCTTAAAAATAATTGAGACCCCTCCCAAAGCCTAGGTCAGTGGTGGCGAACCTATGGCACAGGTGCCAGAGGCGGCACTCAGAGCCCTCTCTGTGGGCACGTGCGCCGTCCTAGGCCTTCAGCTGGGTTTTATAAAACCTTTTTGCTTTAGGCCTCCGCCGCCGTGTGCAAAAAAAAAAAAGGTTCAATCGGTCAATTTCAACTTCTCGCGGGAAAAAAATGATCTTGCAAAGTTGGAATTGATTGATTGAACTTTTTAGTCCCACCCAGTCTGCCGTTACCACCGCAGCCATGCCCACCCAATGGGCCACACCCACCCGGCACTTGACGATGCATAAGTGGGTTTTGGGTTGCAGTTTGGGCACTCAGTCTCTAAAAGGTTCGCCATCACTGGCCTAGGTTTATATGATTTATACCTAATAATATTTACTGTGTTAAATATTAAAACTTAGAAATTTTATTTATTTGACTTCAAGGACCCACTGATCGGTGTCTCTGAAATGGTCCCTTTCTAACCTACTTCTCGTTTATGATTATAATGGTAAGGCTGAGCCCATAGGATAAAAAGTAGGAAGTTTTAACCACCTATTCCAAGATCCCTTCAGATCTACACACTGTAGCCCAATTCAACCTTAGTATGGTGATTGGTGATTCATGCTGCCACCCCCTATCTTCCAGGGAGTGCTTCATCTAGGGCCACCCCCCCCCCACACACATCCCCAACATGCAAAAGACATAGTGACCCCACACCCTTGTATTATTTTCTGGCAAATTTAAAGGAGAAAAAAATGAAATAATTTCTGTATCATCACTTGCTGCCTCTAGAGTATTGTAGGTACAGGGCTCAAATGAAATTTTCCTTCTCTGTCCTTTGGTTTAGGAGATCTTCTGAGTGATAAATAAAAATTAAGCCTTGTTGTGAAAGAAAAAGAGAAATAAAAATTCTTTAGATAGTCAGAAGGAAGCATTCAATGGCAAATGAATGGCAAACTGCCCAGAGCTCCTCTCTGAGGGAGATGGGCAGTTAAGACTGAAGGAAGAAGGGAAGGGAAGAAGTTCAAATCTCATTTGGAAACTTAGGAGGAACCTTGTAGCAAAGGTGATACTGTTCTCCTATTTAGAGCTAACTGCTACAAAGAGGGTCCAAATTGCAAACAACACAGAATTCCTGAACTTGTGCAAAGAAATAAACACCAGAGAAAATAAATTTAAAAAATATACCCAATCAAAATAATTCATCTCATGCAGAATTTCTAGCTGAGCTTGTTTCCTAAGACAACCTAATGCTTGAAGCTAAAGTTCCCTTCTCGCTTGTCTGGATTTTTTTCAGCTTCTTGCAGATTGTGGCTTTTCTTTAGAGGTTTTTTGCTCTATTTTTAGTTACGATGCTCAGCTACAGTTTTAAAAAGAACTAAAGCCTGGAGAAGGAATGGTTAGGGGAGGGGGGTGAAACCTAGAGAAAGAGGAATTGTGGGGAATATATTCTTTTGTTATATGCTAAAATAAGCATCTCTCCTCAGGAGCATCTTGTTTAATTCAGGGCCACGCATTCCCTATCTAGGAATTAAGCTGTCAGTTTTGTAAACGCCAGGTGGCATGCCGCCAGAAGAAGTGGAAATTGTAGGGCAGTAGATAGCAAGATAATATTTACTAACATGGCTTCTATACCAGTCTATTTTTTTCCAGTAATTAACAAATCTATTGCCTACCGTATGAGTAAGCTGTCTGACCAAGCTGCATTAAATATTCTTTGTAGCAATATGGAGAACTCGTTCTCTGTTACTTGGATTAGAATTCTTTTGCCTGATTCTGCTTCTTCCTCTGAATGTAGGAACGATACCAAAGAGCCCTAATGGATTCTGAAAATGTCAGGCGTAGGACACAAAAGTTTGTTGAGGATGCTAAGATTTTTGGTAAGTAAACAGATATGCTAGTGTTGTGCCAGAGTTTGATGCAGTGATAGCTTTATGTATCTTTAGTAGTATTTCTTACGACTGTGCATGTATTGAAAAACCATTCCTAAGAAATGCTTTGGACCTCACATGAGTCCAGCACCTCTTCTTTTCACTGAAGGAGTCCAGCAATGTTTTAACTTCAGCATAAGCCTGAAAAAAAAAGATTCCACTAGTTTAGATTCTCCATCCTTAAAGTTAATGTGATTCATAATATTTATTACACAACAGTTTACAATGTCAAGTGAAATAAAACAACAAAATACACAGTAAAGCAGCATAATGGTTAAAAATTAAAGCTGGAGTGAAAACACCATGTCAGCGAAATGTGGTAATAGCAATAGCACTTAGACTTATATACCGCTTCACAGTGCTTTACAGCCTTCTCTAAGCATATTGGCACCCAACAATCTGGCTCATCATTTTTAGCGACCTCGGAAGGATGGAAGGCTGAGTCAATCTTGAGCCGATGAGAATGGAACTGCCAAACTGCTGGCAGCTGGCAGTCAGTAGAAGTAGCCTGCAGTACTGCATTCTAACCACTGTGCCACCACAGCACAGTAAGATACTGGAGTAGAAGTATAGAGGCCTAAATTCAAATTTCCTGTCAACTCTGGGAGCCTGTTGGGTAAGTTAGGGCCGGTTACCCTCTCTCAGCCAAATCTGCCTGTTATGAGAAAAATAGAAAAGAGTGCTGTGTTCACAGTCCCGAGTGCCTGAATGAAAGGCAGGTTATAAATTTAATAAATGATTACTTGGAGATTGTGGGTCAAGACTATGTGATACAATTTTATTACTCCTTATTGCTAAATAAAATGGAGTGTAAAACAATTGGGTTAACTCATTAGCAACCTGAAGATGACAATAGAGTGAAACCTACTTCAAAAAGATAGTTGCTATGACTGAACAGCTTTTTACAGGTTAAAAGAAATATATTCTACTGATGCAAGTATATGTAATGTCTGGATTTACAGTTTGGTGGAAGCTTCAAATTGAATCAGCATAAATACGACTGTTCCTGAGATCCAGGAAGTCCTTCTATTTAGATAATCCCAAGATCCCAAAATGTTTTTATCCACCTTAACTATTGTTATCTTGATTTTTTGCCTCTCTTTGTGTCTGCAGGCATCCAAAGTTTCTGCAGAGATCTGGTAGAAGTAGCAGATATCCTGAAGACAACCTTGGAGATTGTTGTAGAGGAAGATAATGATCCAGCTCTGGCCCTGAATAAGATCTGTGAAGGCCTGACTCTTATAGAAGTCAAACTACAAAGCATCTTTACTAAGCACGGCCTGCAAAAAATGAACCCCATTGGTGGCAGATATGACCCCTATGACCATGAAATAGTGTGTCATGTGCCAGCAGAAGATACGCAAACGGGCACTGTGGCTTTAGTGACACTGGATGGTTATAAACTTCATGGCCGCACTATCAGACATGCACATGTAGGTGTGGCAGTAGAATCTCAAGAATCTGATGAACCTGCATCTTAGTAATTGGGATCTTATGAGCCTATTTCTTTTGTCCACATCATTACTGCTGCTTTATTTATTAAGCCACACTGGTATGATTTGCTGGTCTCTCGGGATTGGCATGATAATTTGGCCTTCCCTTTCAAGATGTAGTTATTGAATGCTAGTTTTTCCTGTTGTGTAAAGATATTTTTTTTCTATTGTGTCACAAATGTAAGGAGTGGTGTTGTCTTTTCTGTTGTTAATTTTAAGCCTGAATTAAAAGGAATGTAGGATTCATTCCAACAATGCACAGGCCTATTGAAAAGCCAGTCAGTAAAATCCCATTGATTTCAATAGGTCTATTCAACGGTGACTAAAACTGGAACCTGTTCTCTGAAAAAAGCCTTTTCTCCAAGATTTATTTTTAATCTGCTTGTTAACCTCGCTATTGTTCCCATTTTGCTTTTTTATAATCTGTGGTATACATTTCATCTGAGCTTTATTTACAGTAACCCAGAGTCATTCTTATTTCAATCTGGTTTCTTTTTTCAATTTATGTTTTTATTCATGTGTTATTTGAAACATTCTCCTTAAGCGATACAAGACTAATGGATTTTTCATCTTTAAATATATGGACAATGATAGCTCTGTGGTTCTTTGATAATTGGCCAAGAACATGTTTTGGAGAAGATTCTAGGCACCACTTAACCACTTAAGTCCAAGACTGCCTTCCTTCTGAAGCTGTTTTTAACTGTACTTAGGCATTTGTGTTTTGAGAGAATGCATGTGCCATGTCTATGTGATTTGAAGCTTCCAACACTTTTCTTTTTGAATGTTTCTTAGATTTGGTTTTGCATCTCAAAATTTCCCTGAGTGCCTTGGCCAGTAAAAGTATATTCTCGGTCCTAAGTTATTTGTGAAAATGGATTCGTAAATATAATCTTTGTTTTCTTGAACTTTTCAAGAAGCTGCTTTTAAGCAGGGATATGATACCTGTCTATCTTACAAGAATGGTTTGGCTAATTAAAAATTGTAGTGTGTTTTGAAGGTGAACATCTCTTTGGGGTAATAGGAGTTTATTATGCCCAGCCAAATAATTTATTAATTTGTTTTGCTCTAAATTAATTTTAAATTTGGTCTTCCACATTATGATCTAGCTAGTCCAAAAAACTCAAATTCTCCATCAAGATTTTCCACATTTCTTAAATTGGCTTAATTCAATAAAAGGTCCTCTAAATGTAGCATTTTAAAAAGGGGAAATCAATACTTAGGGTAAAACACATGACTTACATGGAGCAGATCAGTTCATAATATTTCAAGTTGTAGAATCTCTTGCAACTATATTGTGAAGGAGCTTCCTTTGGGACTGTGTATTAAATATTGTCTAACTCGCAATGACTGTCTAACTCGCAATGACTGGATTAGGTGAACCAGTGAACAGCAGTGTAAGAATTGTGGACTGTTAATAATTCTGCAAATAACCTGCTGCCATTTTTCAGCACAGCTTGACATATTATCACCAATGATGAAAAGGGATAGTATTGGCCTTTTTCAATTTTGGGATAATGAATACGCAGGTGTTAACTGAGAAAAATATTAATTTAGAAATGATTAGATGTCATCTGTTTTATGTTTAATTTAGTCTTTTTTTAAAAAAATAAAAAATAAAAGTTACAGACTCACTGAGTAAATTTAATTTAATTCATGATCAAGCCTGAGAATGTGAGCTTTCACACAAATGGGAGCTGGCTTTATGGAGCTATTCAACTCAGAATAAGCCCATATCAGACTGTTCACCTGAACCTCCTTAACTCGAAAGGGGGGGGGGAAAGCACTATGACCTTGGTGCAGCATAGTATTGTGATGGGTGCATAGCGCCTTTAGAAGGATTGAGTGTTTTGTAGGATAAAGCTAGCCAAGTCATGGCCTCAGGGCTGAACCAAGACCAATATTATGTAATAGGAAGTACATTTGGGTGAAGTTGAATGAAGAAATTCCACTTCATGTGCAAGATGGTTGACAGAACAAACACTGATGGTCATGATTGTGCATACAATATGTTGGTTTGGTGTTAGCCCAGAGAAGTAGGGAAGAAAGCCGTCCCAGGAGGGTTATTTACTAACAAACATACCTAGTATACCAATTTCTCTACAACAAAAGGAGTGATGAAGTTAAGAAATGAAATAACTGAATCCTTTGGTCAGCCATAATGATGTGCTAGATCCGGATATAATGTGAATTTGCCATACTTTGGCATATATTTCTGGCTCTCCCTCCCAAACCATACAATCACAGAGCCTGAGATGGAGAAACAAAAGAATGGATTTCTAAATAGGAAAGCTAAACACATCTAACTGATCAAAGAGAGAAGCAACCTGGAATTAAGGAGAAAGTTCCTAACAGTGAGGACAATTAACTAGTGGAACAGCTTGCCTTCAGAAATCGTGGGTGCTCCATCACTGGAGGTTTTCAAGAAGAGACTGGACAGTCACTTGTCTGAAATGGTATAGGTTCTCCAGCTTGAGCGGGGAGGGGGCTGGACTAGAAGACCTCCAAGGTTCCTTCCAGCTCTATTCTATTCTACTGCAAATACGACAATACTTCTGATTCAGCTATTATTCATTGAAACAGCAAGTGGTTGCACCTAATTGCCCTTGTGTCAACGCTGCAAATACTGTATATTCTTGCTTTGACAATATGCAGAACTGTCTGGTATTTTTATAGTTAAACCAGGCAACAGGGAAAAAGGGAGGAGAATAAGTATAGCCCTGGAAAAAGAAACCGGAAGTAAATCACATCTTCCAAGTTGATTGGAAGATGTGAACCATGACCCCAAAATAAGGGAGGGGAAATGCTTAGAATGTATATGCATAACGGAAGAGAAGCCAGACCTAAGCATTTCCACCATGCTGTACTGACGTCTCTGTAACCTTAATAAATGCTTTTAGGGAAAAATATGCCTGAAAGTCCTTTTAAGTGTTTCGTTAATCAGACACGACCCCTTGATTGATATATAAAACAAGGGTCACACCAAGAATATTTGGATGGAAGGTCAAAACCATTCCAGTTGTCAACTAGATTGGGAAATTGGGCAAATGCTCTGAAAGGAGGTGATGACAACTCATTTCCTTAATGTTGCTAGGAAATGAAGTTGTTATGGAGTCACCAGGAATCAAGATTAATTTATAGAGGTACTGTTAGTCTTCCAGCAGAATTGATGTAGGGAATGAGCATGCAGGAGTTGTTTAGAACAGAAGGAAAAGAACTGTTATGCAGTGCATGGAGTAAAAAACAGTGCAAAGTGTGAAAAAAATATATGCTTGATGAATGACTGGGAAAAATACACTTAAGATTAGTGCAGAAAAAGTAATGAAAAGAAGCTACTGCATTATCTGTAGAGAGAGAATATCATAGTTACAAAGAATGTAATTAAAGAACCATTCCAAAGAAAGGAATGATTAAGGTTATGAGGTGCAGAGACATGCAGAATGAGATTGATAAAAATAAATTGTTTTGGAAGTGGGAAGGGAGGAGCCTTATCAGAGTGAATACAATTTAAATAAAAACCTTAGGGAAGAAATGGCAAACAGAAGACTGCTCTCCAAAAAGCAGACTACGGTGGAATGAAGGACCAGCAAATAGATTGGCTTTTAATAATTCCTCTTTGGACAAGGAGAGGACTTGAAATTGTCCACAAGTGCTCAAGACAGCGGTCTCTGGTGGGTTTAGAGCTCTAAGAGAGGATGGAATAGCCATATTGTTCCAATCATGGTTGACACCTTTAAAAGACTACTGGGTTCAAATACTTTTCTAATCACTTTCAGAAATTGCTTGTTAATTGCTTATTAGAAGGATTTGACTCTCACAGTTTCCTTTGATCCTTAGCTAGAAAATAATGATCCTTTAACTAGAAAATAATGATCCTTTAACTAGAAAATAATTCAGGAAAGCTTTATGTAGGAAGGTGCCAGGCAGATTTCTGTTCATCAACATAATTTAATGTATGAGTGTGAGAAAGAAAACAATTGTATAATTGCTGAGTTAGAGAAAGTACGATAAAATTAATGGGCTTGAATTGTGGAATGATTTGTGCAAACATGGAGGGCAAGCTTGGCTGCTGATTGTGATAAAGGTATATGATGGAAGGAAAGTGTGCATGAAAATAAAGCATGCATGAGAACATTTACTGTAGCAAACAGCTCAACACAGAGTAAGGCACGATTGCGATGTTCTTTCATTTGTTCAGGAATGCTTGTGGAGATATCTGAAGTGTGTGGGTTGTGGAAGTGAATATGTGTGTACTTTGGTATGCAGATAACACAGTGCTCTTTGCTGAGAGCCCAAATGATTTGCAGGTACAAATTTAGATGCAATTAGGAACATCTAACTGAAAATTAGTTTATGAAAGACCAAGGTCATTGAGTAGACAACTACAGGTTTTACATAAACAGTGAAAATTTAGAGCAAAGAGATACATTTGTGTATCTAGTTTGAATGTTTCCAAAGATGAGATGATGAATCTAGAAATTTTTAAATGCTGGTAGAAAGATATTGCATGGCATATGGTTTGTTGTGAAGAATGTTTTCCTAAGAAGTAAAAATGACTATGCATAAAAGCACTTCAGCCCACTTAATTCTATGGAAGTGAGAGAATGATATACAGAGGAGGAGAAATGGAAGCTGGATGGAGTTGAAAAAAGTATTTAAGAAATGTGTACAGTAAAACAAGAGAATGACATAATAGTGAATGTTGCTGCTATAAATAAGATGTTGCTGTTTCCTTTTCTTATGCAATGCCTTCATCTATCTGCCCCTTTTGCACTTTGTGTGATATTGCTTACTTAAAAGGAAATAAGAGTCATGGCTATATATATATACTGCTCACAAAAATAAAGGGAACATTTTACCATGGAACTGAAGGGGTTTGCATTCCCTTTATTTTTGTGAGCAGTATATATATATATACACATAGGTACGGGTCTATAGAGATTACTTATATCCCCACTTTTTAGATACAAATAATAATAATAATAATAATAATAATAATAATAATAATAATAATAATGGTAAAGTTGGAAAGTACCTTGGGGGTCATCTAGTCCAACCCCATGCTCAGGCAGGAAACCCTATACCATTTCGGACAAATCCTACAAAGCAGCTCACTAATAAATCAGTTTTTGTAATTTGTAATTATACAAATAAGGTTCCTGATTTTTTTTTTTTAAAAAAAAAAACAATTTCAGGGCAAAAGCAAAAGTTCTAGTAGTGCCAGGGGAGGCCTGAAGGCTTAATTTTTCTCCCTTACTGACTTTGTCCACCCAGTAGACTTACCTAGGGGTTGGATCTACATGAACATCAGACTATAAACTGTACAGGTTGGCTTGTATGTATATATATGGCTAGAACAAGTTGGTTAATTTCTAGTTCAGCAGACTGTGGTTCAGCATGTAATGCATATCTAGCCCACTCACCCTACTACATCTAGCTAGATGACTTTGCATGGGAGGCTTAAAGTGATGTAATGTCTCTTTGAGTCAAACTCTGGTGACTACATGGACATATCCAGGCTGGGGAGTGTTGCAACAACACAGAACTGAATTGTTCCAGCTGTCTTTGGGGATTTCATGCAACCTCATGAACTTCCAGATCTCATGTGTAAGTACTAATCCACTCTAGCCAACTTATTACAGGTAGTCCTCACTTAATGACAGCAATGGGATTGGAATTTCTGTCGCTAGGTTGTGCGGTCATAAATGTCACACAGTTGTTAGATGTCATGTAACTGCTCTGCTTAGCAACGGAAATTCTGGTACTTCCATTTGCCATTAAGCAAATCACTGGATTGTTATGTGAAGATAACATGTGGTTGCCATTTGCAACCTTTTGTGGCTTTCCTATTGACTATGCTTATAGGAAGCCAGCAAAGATGGTTTTAAATGGCAATCATGTGACCATGATGATACTGCATCAGACAGAAGTATGAGAGCTAATCATAATTCCCCTTCATTCAGCACCGCAGTCCCATTGTAAGTTTGAATGCTTGCTGAATGAGTAATCATTAAATAAGAGCCATTGGTATTTATTTTATTTATTTAAATTTATTGGCTGCTAAACTTTACTGGATTCTAAGCAATGCATGAAACTAAAAAAAGGTATAAAACAGTTAAAGGTATTAAATCAATAGGCAACTGGGACTAAAATGCTGATAATAAAATCCACAAAACAAAGCAGGGGCTATTAAACAAATAGCAAATATTAACTCCAAGCCAAGGATCGAAGCCAGGTTTTCAAAGCTTTCCAAAACCTTAGGAGAATGGACTCCATCTTTTATCTCTGGGAGGATGCTGTTCTGGAGATTGGGGGCCACAACCTAGAACACAAATTTCCTTAGTGCCACAAGATGGCAGTGTTCAATGGAGGGAACTTGGAGTGCATCCACGCTGCTGGAACCTATTGGGCAGTCTCTCAATTATCCAGGTATCTAACTTGTTTCAGTTAAAGTCAGTTTAGCGTTACCTGTGAATCTGGCAGGTTAACCTGTGCAAAAATGTTTTCTCAAAGAAGAAACTGGACAGCCACTTGTCTGAAATAGTATAGGGTTTCCTGATTGAGCAGGGCTGGACTAGAAGACCTCCATGGTCCCTTCCACCTCTGTTACTCTGTTCTGTTGCAAATTATCGTTTGGGGCTCAATGGCATTGAACTATAAATCTCCAATTTTATGATTCCCACACCAAGGAAATGTGGTGGCTACTTCGTGCTTCAGTATGTCTGGCAAATACGCTCTAGGTTGGATAAATTCTGGATTTAAGTAAAAAAAATAAAAAATAAGCCGGGTGCTTCCAGTGCTACCTGACCTCGTGCACTATTGCATGAAAATCTCCGGAGCCAGAAGAGGACCGTCTCTTCCCTTTTAGGCTCAGTCGCTTCCTGGAGAGTTGCGCCTCTGCGGTGCAACCCCAAAACAGTCCCCCCCCCTTCCCAGGATTAGCTTGTATGGGCGCGTGGGTATTTCACTCTAAACAGGGCTGAGTAACGCTAACCTGGGAAAGCAGTGCAAGCTTACGGCGCTGAGAAACAGGGCTTTTTGCAACCAGCGATCGAGGCGACTTCCGGAGGCGTCTCCGCCAGAAAACTGAAGTTCGGGGTGTAGGTTGAAAGCGCATCTCACCCATTGGCGTTTCGAGACTTCCTGCAAGGGGCGCTCGCCCTGGAGCGAGCCAGAAGACGCGACCTCCTCCGCTAGCAAAGCACTTCCCCCTTTTTTCAAAAGGGGTTGTCTCGTTCGCTGCGACTGCCTGCGATCCGCCACGCGAAGGTCAAAAAGGCCGCGGGAGGCGCAGCCGATGATCAGCCGCGTCTTCCCCAAATCTCGGGAACCGCGCAGGGCCGCCGACGGGCCGGAAAGCTGCGAATTCGCCGGACGCTGCCGCATTAGCGGGCTGGTTTCCGCTGTTTAGCTGCCGATTTCTCGCTTTTGCAGTCGCCGCCCCTCTTATCTCCCCGTTGCCACCATGATGGCAGAGTTTCCTTCTCCCCGGTGGCTTTTGTTTCTGACCGTAGCTCTAGGGGGGATGCGGACGGAGCCCTCCTTCGCCGAGGCAGGGGATGCAGCTCCGCCGGGCAAAATAGGTAGGCGTTCCTCTTTCATCGCAGCTCGCTGTCTGGTGTGTTAGCCCACCACGAGGCACCCCCAAGGTGGGCTTCTGCGCCCAAACAACCTGGAGCTTCCGCATTTGCGCCGGGGAAATTGAGCGTAAAAGCAGGGATGATGGGGCTGAAAGTGGGGCTGCTCTGGCTTCTGCAGAAACATGTTAGGCTTGGCGTTTTGGTGGCCATCCTGGAGTGTTCCTATTCCGACACGTGCTTTGACATTTTATCCGATAATGCTCTTTTTTTTTATACAGCCAGCCCAGCCCAATGGCAGGGTCAGTGTATATAGTTCATCCCTGCTTCTTTTATATGGGTGCTATGTACAGTATGTGTATTGTGCTCACAGAGACACGGGGGGGGGGGCGGATTTCCTCCGCCCCCTTTCCTTCTGCTGGGACCATTGATGGTAGCATATCCCTTCTCCCTATCCTTTCGGGTACACTGGATCTAGTGTACCCAGATTTCTCAGCAATTGGCTGTGTCAGCTAGAAATTCAAAATGGCAGTGCCAATACATTGAGAGATTGAGGAAGAAGCATGGTATAACAATTAGATCAGTGTTTCTCAACCTTGACAATTTTAAGGCATGTGGACTTCAACTCCCAGAATTCCACAGCCAGCACTGCTGGCTGTGGAATTCTGGGAGTTGAAGTCCACATGCCTTAAAATTGTCAAGGTTGAGAAACACTGAATTAGATAGTTTTCACAGTGAGATAACAGTTTTGGAGTTTGATTGGAATGCATGTGATCAGACTTAGCCAGAAAACCTTTTTTTAATATCCTGCCTTTATTATTTTTTATAAATAACTCAGAGCAGCAAATACTCCTCCTTCCTCCTATTTCCCCCAGGAGAACAACGCTGTGATGTGAGTTGGGCTGAGAGAGAGCGACTGGCCCAAAGTCACTCAGCTGGTTTTCATGCCAAGGCAGGACTAGAACTTAATTTTCCTGCTTTCTAGCCTGGTGTCTTAACTACTAGGCAAACTGGCTCTCTTTATTATTTTTATTATATGCCCACTGCTAGACAGAGATGTGGTTTTGAGCAATCCTCTTTTCCCTGGGAAACTATATCTATTTGTTGAAGATGGATCTTTTTATGGTGGTTCTTAACATGCTTGCTTTGCTTTCGCAGCTGTGGTGGGAGCTGGAATTGGCGGCTCCTCGGTGGCTTATTTCCTGCAGCAGCATTTTGGGCCTCAGGTTCAGCTGGATGTGTATGAAAAGGCTGTGGTGGGGGGTCGCCTAGCCACAGTTACAGTCAACAAGCAGTCCTACGAAAGCGGAGGGGCCTTCTTCCATTCTCTCAACTTACACATAGAAGATTTTGTGCAGCAATTGGGTAAGTGTGGTTGACCATTTAGATTTATAAGCTTCAAGCATATCCTTTTATTGCCTCTGAGCTTGGGTGATATGGGAGAGCTTTGGTTCCTCTGGCATGGTAGATAGATGAGATCAGGAATCATCATTGTTCTGTTACAAGGGAGCTCAACCTACTTGTTCTATTCAGCCAGCCTGTAATTTCCTGCCCAAACATTCCATTCCATTCCCATTTGTACTTTTGGAATACAATTGGACTATTTGGGGGAGATTTCAACTTTGAAGTTCTTTTTCCCCCTAAGATACTTTCTTTTTGTGAATGAAGGGGGATGGTTCAATAGGAATATATACATCATGGCAATATGTTTGATCCATGTTTAAATATAAAGCAGTGCTGAACTGAGCTGAGGGAAAGCTAGAGTCAAACGTCCATACAACATGGACCTCATTGAGCGACTTTGGACCAGTTCCTTTTCTCAGCCCAGCCTTCTGGCAGAGTTTGAGAATCTAAATGGAAGGGAATCTTCATATATCATGCTTATGGTTCCAAAGTTGAGGTAGCCATTCTTATTTTCCCTTCGCCTAGAGTTTGTGTATTTGTTTTTTCAAAATTTGTTTTTTAAAAAGGATTTTTATATTTTTTTAAAAATATAATATGTTTAAAATATAATATGTTTTTATATCTGTTGCGGTCTTAGATTGTTGTGCACCACCCAGAGTCGACTTTGGTAAATTGGCAACTCTATAAATTTGATTAATAAATATATCAATATATGCCATCTTCAGCTAAGCCTTTCCACTCCTTCAGAAGAAAGGTTGAATATAAATATAATGAAATGTACCTTAATGTATTATACATAATATAATGTAACAATTATAACAACAACATCAAATTATTAAATCTGCCTTGGCACAAAACTGAAAATAGACAATCAGTCCTGTATTATTATACTATTTATGGACTTAGAGTCCCCACTTTCACTCACACTCACACAAACTCACACAAACATATAAAGGACTCCCTCCTCTCTTTTTTCCCCTTAACAGCAACATTGTGAGCTAAAAGTTGGGTTGGCACAGATTGACTGGCACAGATCTCAGTGTATGATTTGGGCTGAACGGGAAGGAGGCAATATGCCATCAGGACAAACTAATTGTAGACATAGTTCTGCCAGGGTCCAGCAGAAACCAAGTTGTTTTTACTTTTAAATAAAGTTGGGAGTTGTCTTTATTTTCCTAACTAGTCTTCACTGATTTTTAAAATTCAATCTTCTGTTGTAAAGAGCAACATGAAGCCCAGACCCAGAAAAAAATGGCTATTGTGGATGAAGGTGAAGCATAACAAAATCTGGCCACTGTCAGAGAATTCTGCAGTGCCAAAATGGAAGAAGCATGAATGAGTGTGGTAGCAAATGAGAAACTGTATTAAAAATCATGACTGAGAAAGATTTCTCAGAGTCAAGTTAAAAGTAGACAGCAAAAGAGAGCTCTCTTGCAAAGCCCATCATGATAAAAAGGACATAAGTCAACCTTACTGGATGTTGTTTTCTGTTCTGTAGGATTGAAACATCGTCGAGAAGTGGCAGGAAAGAGTGCCATCTTCACTGGGGAACAGTTTGTCCTTGAGGAGACAGACTGGTACCTGCTCAATCTTTTTCGGCTCTGGTGGCACTATGGCATGAGCTTCCTACGTCTACAAATGTGGGTAGAGGAAGTAATGGAGAAGTTCATGAGGTAGGTACAAGGAGGCCATCACTGGTGCCTCCAGGGCAATGAGAAAAAAAATAGGACAATCTCCCTTCGATCAAAATTAGCTTCTATCCAGTGGTAGCAATTTAGTATAAGGGAAGGTCTTCAGATTTCCTGTAAAGCTCATAGGGAATGGCCTTGAAGGGCAGGAGGAAGAGCCACTAAGTTGGCAGCAGTCAGCTAAGTTGGACTAGAGCTGGGCCAAGGAATTAATTAAAGAACACTTCTAAGACAAGTCCCTCCTGCATGCACACAAAATGAGGGAGGAGGAAGCACATTCTGACTTGCAAAATCTGTTGCTAGAACTGTTGCAATAAATATAATCCCTTGGCCTTGGTTCCTTAGTCTGGTCTACCTTGTAGGGCTGTCTTTTCCTAAGAGAGAAGTCATGCCGCTCTACATTTTTTCCCTTCTTATGACCTACAGAATCTACAAGTATCAGGTCCATGGCTATGCATTCTCTCATCTTGAGGAGCTCTTGCGTTCACTGGGGGGTGACACCTTCGTCAACATGACCCAGCGCTCTGTGGTGGAGTCCCTGCTGGAGGTGGGTGTCACACAACGCTTCATCGATGATGTTATCATGGCCATTCTCCGGGCCAATTATGGCCAGTCAATACTGGTGCCTGCGTTTGCAGGTGAGTACTACCCATCTTCTATTGCTCCAGTCTTTTTTCAATAGGACATTCTGCAGCTTGGGAGACAAATATGTTGTAAGGAAGGTTGGTGTTTTACAATTTGGCTAGTTTATTCTCTGACAGCTGTCCCCTCTGTACTTCTTTTTTTTAGGGGCCATGTTACTAGCAGGAGCTCAAGGAAACCGATGGGCAGTTGAAGGTGGCAACAAGCTGGTGTGCTCAGGCTTGCTGAAGCACACAAAAGCCAACATTATCCATGCCACGGTGACAGCTATCTCTCTGCACAGTTCAGGTATGCCACACAAATCCATCTTCATCCAAAGATCTCCAGGTAGCGGGGGTTGGAGATTTTGAAGAGCTGCTGCAGACTATGTAAACATGCTGGGATGAATGAATGGTCTTACTTTGTGCAAGACAGATTTTCCTATTCGTATGGGTGCACTTCAAATCCGGAGAATTTAATTTTAAAAGCAATTTAGAAAGAAGTGGCACCTGGCTTTCAATGTGGATATGCCGCACATTGGATAATGCAGTTGACATGGAGATTCTGTGAGAGAATTGTAGCCCAAGAGATGACTCTTCCGAGGACTTAATGGAAGGAAATGTAACATGTTTTCATTCTCTCACACCTCTGGCTAATTCCTCACCTCCTAAGCTTTTATTTGCTTTTCAGGGAAGGTTCTTCAGAAAAACCAACATTTCTGGGAGTGCCTTTTCTGAGTGGTGGCAAGGAGCAAACACACACATACACCTGGTTCATTGTATTCAAAATCACCTCTGGTTTAATCCCAGAATTCAGATATTGTTGCTTCTCAGGAGATATACATGCAATAAATATTGACCGGATACTGTGCCACATGATAGAAAGAGACCTTCTTATGCTGAACTAAGCATTAGAAATGAAGTGTCACAAAGCAGGTTAGCATGAGCTGGGTACCTCTCCTCAAAGCTATACAAGACCCATATCTTCAGGAAAAAGCATGGCTGCTTTACAGCTTTCCCCAGTTGTTGTGGATATCTGTTTGTGCACAGCTGTTCCATTTTTCTGCAGGCCGAATGGAAATGTTCATACTTCAGACCGCTGACTGAAGCTGCTGAATCTTCCGCAGTATAATAGCTACTTTAATGCATTAAGGAGTTTCTCTTTTTAAAGCTCTGTAGGCTACAACTATAGGTACCGTAGTCCTTGACTTACCATGTTTCCCCAAAAGTAAGACCTACCCCAAAAATAAGCCCTAGCTTGATTTTGGGGGGTGGGCCTAATATATACCCCAAAAATATGCCCTAATTTTGGGGCGAAGTGCATGCCTAAAAATCAAGCTAGGGCGGGGGTGGACCTTACCATTGCAGCCAGGCCTCCCATGGATCGACAGTGGCGTCACCAGCCCACTTCTTCTGCGGCCAAAGGAGCAGCTTCATTCTGCGGCTGAGAATAGAGCTCCGGCTTGCATTTCGCAGTCTGGCCTTTCTGGAAGGCCTGTGCAGCTGAAAACCAAGCTGTGGATTCAATCTGTAGCTCGGTTCTCAGCTGCACAAGCCTTCCGGAAAGACCTCTGACTGCGAAATGCAAGCTGGAGCTCCATTCTCAGCTACAGAATGAAGCTGCTCCTTCGGCCACAGAAGAAGTGGGCCGGCTGGGCGGGGCTCTCAGTGCCGCCACCGTGAGGTGAAAATAAGACCTGCTGCCTCTTTTGGAGGCAAAAAAAATAATAAGACTGGGTCTTGTTTTCGGGGAAACACAGTACAACCACAATCGAGCCCCAAATTTAGGTTGCTGAGCGAGACAGTTGTTAAATGAACTTTGTCCCATTTTACAATCTTTCTTGCCACAGTTGCTAAGTGAATTTCAGTTATTAACACGGTTGTTAAATGAATCTGGCTTCCCCATTGACTTTGCCTGTCAGAAGTTCTCAAAAGACGATCACATAACCCCTTAGAGTAGACACTGCACTGTCATAAATATAAGTCAGTTGCCAAACATCTGAATTTCGATCACATGACCATGGGGATGCTGCAGCAATCATAAGTGTGAAAAATGGTCATAAGTCACTTTTTTCAGTGCTGTTGTAACTTCGAGTGGTCACTAAATGAATTGTTGTAAGTGGAGGACTACTTCTAGAGGGAGGAACCCAGGCTCCAGTTGGGAACTATAAGGCTAAAACTGGGAGAAACTGGAAGGGGGGGGGAGATGAAAGTAGTAAAAAAAAATGCAGGAAGGTTATGGACAGTAATTACTATCAGCTGGACCTGCTTTAAAGAATTCTGAATAATTGCACCTTGGGAGCCCCCTGAATACCTTTGATGTAAAGTATCCATTGATGCATGCAGAGAAGCAGGCAGAACATAACACAGACAAGGATCTTTATACTGTAGGAATGTTCAAACGATTTTCTCCTTTCACTTGCTTTAAAGGCTGGCATATTTATTGCACAGAGACACTTGAAATTTCCTGTGAGTGTTCACAGTCTAACTTTTTTTTTTTTTACTAAGAAAAGATTATGTTTCCTGTGCATAGGGTATTTATTGTTGCTGTGATCACTCAAAGCATACCCAGTTGAGCAAATGTGATGCTTTAAGAGAGGATGTGATGAAATGGTAATTACTTGCATTCTACTAAGGTCAATAAGGAATTAACCTTATAAGGAAGAGGGGCAGAAAGCTGCAAGAAGAGAAAGAGCATTTTCAGCCAGACAGAATAAAAAGAGGGAGCAGAAAATAAAAGTAGATAACGTGTGTATATAATATGTAGAAACTGTAAAAAGAGAAAATATTGGTGGTCCTTGTAAATAAACTATGGATCACCTGCTGTGGGTGGTGTACCTCTAGATAGAAACAACTTTCAGTCTATATTATTTATTCATAAAGTATTGCATTAAATAAGATTTTAACTCTAAGATAATTCAGTCACTCACCACTGAATACCTAAGATATCAAACTTTAAGATATAAAAATCAATAGCTTAGGATGTAATTTTATTATAAGAACTCTACACATAACATTTTGGAGTGATAGTGAGATTTTTAAGAAAATAAATGCAGGAAAAAATGTGTCATTGCCGAACAAATAAACTCCGTTTTAACAGAGGATATAATTGGCATATATTTTTATTCCTAAAAGCATCTTGAAAAATGTTTATTTTGATTTGCATTGAGTGAGAGCCTACATAATAAGGATCCTTATAGCTCCTATTTTTCTTAAATGCTGGATAGTACAAGGTTGCCTATCTTTTTTTGTTGTATATTTCTTAAATAGTGTTCATAGTGTTCTGTGGAATATCACCCTCCTTCTTACTGTTGTAGCCACAACTTTTCATTTGAGACTTTGTGCTTGCTAAACTGTTTAGCATCATCTAGCTTCCTACACAAGATATATAGTTGTTGATGGAATATTCCAAACTGTAATGGCAGCAGATGTACACAACTCAACCCAATTATTTTCACCTACCAAAGTCAAAAACTACAATAAGATTTTCCTTTTTTGTGACCAGTCAGGGGAATCTTCTCTAGGCTCTTTGATCAGTTCCTATCTGCTATTTTTACAAGTTGTGTGAGTGCTTATTGTAGCTGGTTTAGCTAGCAAAGTTAGTCTTCATAAATAAAACCAGCAGTGAGTGAGCTGCGGAAACAATGGAATCAACCAAAAAAACCAGGGCAAACTATGAGATCTTAGCAGAATTGTTTCTCTTTGAAGTTTCATCTGTTCAGCTTCTAAGACAGGGGTGTCAAACTCGTAACATCATGTGACGTGTTGCGACGTATCGTGACTTTTTTCCCATTGCCGGCAATGGGGTGGGCGCGGTTTCGGCATGACGCATCCGGCCGCGGGCCGGCAGTTTGACACCCCTGTTCTAAGATAATGATGATGACTTGCTTGCTAGCTGTCTGAGTTACTGTTTTTTCCCCTGTTTGTTTCCTGTGCATTTTTATCCAGAAGGAAAACCCCTCTACCAAGTGCACTATGAAAATGAAGATGGTCCAGGTTCCAACTTTTATGACATAGTGGTCGTTGCCACTCAACTACATGATAGCAAGAACAATATTACCTTTCAGAATTTTGATCCTCCTATTGCTGAGTTTCCTGGAACCTTTCACACCACAGTCACCTCCATTGTTCATGGCTACCTCAACTCCTCATACTTTGGCTTCCCAGATCCCAAGCTTTTTCCTTTTGCCAGTGTCCTCACCACAGAAACTCCTGGTCTCTTCTTCAATTCCATGGATAACATCTGCCCTGTCAACATATCTAATACCTTCAAGCGAAAGCAGTCCCAGGAAGCTGCGGTGTGGCGTGTCCACTCTCAACATCCTTTGGAGAAGCAAGAGCTGAAGATGCTGTTCCGTTCTTATTATTCTGTTCAGGTGACAGAATGGCAGGTCTGTCCTGATTATGGATCAGTCAAGAACCTCCCACCTATTCTTCTGCATGACAGCCTCTACTACCTCAACAGCATGGAGTGGGCAGCCAGCTCCATGGAAATGTCTGCCGTGGCAGCCAAAAATGTGGCTCTCTTAGCCTACAATCGGTGGAATCACGATGTAGAGAAAATAGACCAGAAAGACTTAATGCACAAAGTGAAGACTGAGCTGTGAACTTAGCAAAACAAGACTTTATTGCATGCAGAGTGAGGGGGGATATTTGAGGCTACTAAGTGCCATTCCTTGACCTGCTGTGTTCCAGTTATATTGGATTGCAGCGTTTGGAATTCCCAGTCAGTGTAGTAAGAGATTCTGAGATTGGCAGTCCCACGCATTCCCAAATCCTCTAAGTCAGGGTGTCAAACTGCCGGTCCGTGAGCCGGTTGCATCATGCAGAGGCCGCGCCCACCCTAGCTCCAGCAATGAGAAAAAAAAGTCGTGATACGTCGTGACACATCACGTGACGCGGGGAGTTTGACACCTATGCTCTAAGTTAAGGAAGGTTATACTGCAAATTTAACAGAAGTAAAGCAGAGCACTGGCAAATCTGTGTATTTATACATTCATCTGTTATCTATGGTCATGGCAATCTCTTTAGCATAGCATCACTCTTTCAAAGAGCCTGTGAATTAATGCCTCTATCTAGTTGTTCAGGGTTCTTCGGTAATCATGGAAGAGGATTGAAACCAAATAGTGTCAAATTCCATTTGATTTTTACTTTACCTGCTGAATCATATTCATACAGCCCAATTGTGTATATCACCCAACATGCTACAACTTTGGATTCAAGCTTCCTTCTTGTGTTTCACCTGCAGCCTTCCCAAATGATTTATACTGGACTGGACTGGACCTTCTTGTACTTCATCCCCTAAGCTAAAGGAAATGGCACATTTAGAGTCATAAGATCTTTTATAATTTTTTGGTTTTCCTGGTATCCCAAGGACTGTATTCCCTTATGTTTATTACAAAGCCCCATGAATTTAGATCAAAGGATGGTGAAGCAAAGGACCTTGTATTGGAACGTTTTCTGTGAGAAAAGCTAAACAGCTTAATGAATCATGTAACCTTTTATCCACTATCCTGATAAACTTGTGTGCTCAATGGCTGATCTGAAGTTGCCTTGCCAGCCATCCCATGGGCCTTTTTCTTGGTTTGAAATAGATTAAGCATGCTTTCCTCCGGCATTTGGTTAAAAAAAGATTTCCTTGATTTCTAAACAAAGAGAAACCACTGAACTAACATTCTGGAATTTTCCTGAATAGATTCCACAATACCCTAGCCCAGGGGGTCTTCAAACTTGGCCCTTTTATGACTTGTGGACTTCAACTCCCAGAATTCCTCAGCCAAGTCATGCTGGCTGAAGAATTCTGGGAGTTGAAGTCTACAAGTCATAAAAGGGCCAAGTTTGAAGACCCCTGCCCTAGCCATTTGGTCAGGCTGATCCTGTAACTCTTGAAAAAAGTGTGTGAAAGGCTTGAATATTTGCTACCTGCTGCTAATGAAGCTGGGCTCTCAGCTGTGTAGGGTAAAGGGATAACTTGTTTTTGTTAATTCCGGATATAATAAAATGATGAGGCTCCCTATCTTTCTTCCTAGAAATTGAAGAAAATACTTAATTTCAATTGTTACCTTGTATACAGCATGGATATTGATAAGGTTTTCTTTAATGAGCTTTGTTAAATCAATAACATATTTGCAGAATCAGGTCAGCAACACACTTTATGATCAAGCAGCAAAATAGATAGGCCTAGCTAGTCTCTAAAACAGCAGTTCTCAACCTATGGGTCGCGACCCCATTTGGGATCGATCGACCATTTCACAGGGATCGCCAAGCAAGGCTGTCCGCCATTTTTTTTCCCCTTTTCCGGCGAGTGCCTTACCTCCCTTGAGCTGGGCCAGCTGGTGGTCGGCCTGCTCTGTCTCTGCCGCTTGCAAGCTACGCCTCGGCCGGCGCAGGGGGCGGAAACACGCATGTGTGGCGCTCCCGGGCAGGGAAAGTCCTCGACTTACGACCGGTTGGGTAGACCTCGACTTACGACCGGTTTAGTCCTCGACTTACGACCGGTTTAGTCCTCGACTTACGGCCGGTTGGGGGTCGCGGCATTAAAAAGGTTGAGAACCACTGCTCTAAAAGATATTTTTCTACTGTGCCTTAAGTCATAGCCTTTAGCTGGCTTGGAAGAACTGAGAAAATGAAAATAAGGTTACCGGCTTGTTTCTTCTGAAGTTGTGACATTTTAGCACATAGACAAATGCTTAGATCAAGGGTAGCAAACTGTTTGCAACTGGTTGGCAGATCTGGAATGTTGGCATATTGTGAGTATTCTCACAAAATGATTGCCACAGTCAATGTGGCTAGACTCAAAATGCTCCTTGGTGAGATGAACTGAGAAACCTCTCTGCATTCAGTTGATCTCACTTTACTAGATCAACTTACACTTATCCTTTATCTGAGTAGATGAAACAAGCAGAAGACTATAGCTATCATATGTAATGTCTAAAAAGATCTCAGGAGATTTTTGCAATTAATGCCTCCGGGCCCCACATAAGATGGAGGCAGATGAACCTGGAAATATGCCCACATTTTCGCCTAACAAAAATAATTAAAAAGCCAGGTGCAGCAAGGGTTTGGCAGGTGCAAAAGCCAGCTACTTACAGTTATATCAGTACTTCTTGGCATCTGATTGGGTAACTGCCCTTTATTTTGCTCTGTGGCTTCATAGCTATAATGGCGATGCATTCCCATCCATGAAAAATTGTTTCTGGGGAAACTGCTTGCTTTGGATTCAAATGGGAATCTTTCCTAGATCTACATACAAAACCCAAGGATTGGATTCAGGCTCCTCTTTCTGGGGAGCAAACCATGTTGAATAATGGCAAGCTTCCTTTCTGTAGAACAGATGCTTATAGAACTGATGCTTTTCCTATATTATAACAGTTCTTCAGCTGCTTATCCCACATGAGGATGTTTCCCAGTCCTGCTATTGGAGAATCCCCTGGGCTCTTCTGCCAAAAGACTATGTGCTCAGCCCCTGAGCTGTGATTCCCCTCCATTGTGAAGGCTAGGGATATTAAAAGAGATTATTACAGAAACCTGGGTCCATTCACAATGTGTGTGCATAGTGATAAACATGAAGGATTTCTTGGGCTTTCTTGCTGCCTTCTCTGTTTAACTCTTGGTAAGAATAACATCCTTAACGTTCCTCTAGTTTCCTGCTGATATGCAAGCCATATTATCAGAACTTTGAGCACAGGACTCTTGGGGCTGTTGGCATTTAGATAAGGCTTTCTTGATAATATTCTATAAGGCAGTGGTGGCAAACCTATGGCACGGGTGCCAGAGGCGGCACTCAGAGCCCTCTCTGTGGGCACGCGCGCCGTCGCCCCAGTTCTAGGCCTTCAGCTGGGTTTTATAAAACCTTTTCGCTTTAGGCCTCCGCCGCCGTGTGAAAAAAAAAAAAAGGTTCAATCAATCAGTCAATTTCAACTTCTCACGGGAAAAAAAAGATCTTGCAAAGTTGGAATTGATTGAACTTTTTAGTCCTACCCAGTCTGCCGTTACCACCGCAGCCACACCCAGCCAATGGCCACACCCACCCGGCACCCGACGATGCATAAGTGGGTTTTGGGTTGCAGTTTGGGCACTCGGTCTCTAAAAGGTTCGCCATCACTGCTATAAGGTGAATAGTAGCTTGCCAATCTTGATTTAAAGAGCCTCTTAGACTCATTCTCTGCTGTGATCTGAGAGGCAATGAAGCACTGTTAAACTGTTGAGAAGTAAGTTCTCATTATGCTAACCACAGCGGGATGGGGCTTATGTTTTGTGTGGATCCAATCAAGTATGGTTTGGTAATCAGACATATGAACTCTTATCTACAAAGTGTGAAGCCAGCTAGTTAGTTCTGCCAAATTGTTCTGTACTCAATGTCCCAGTACTGTCTAAAAAGGATGCTCTGAACGGTGTTTTCTGAATGTATGAAGCCAACTGGATGACTCTGAGCCAGTCACTCTCTCAGCCCTAAGAATAATGTAATGGCAAGCCACTTATGAAAATCTTGCCAAGAAAAACTGCATGGAATTGTCCAGGTGGTTTCCAGGAGGAATTAAGACTGACTTGAACATACCTACAAACAATGACATAACTGGTCAAGATACTGATTCATCTCTAAAGGTTTGGCCCAAACTCAACTTTATAAGCTAAATTCTCACCAAAGAGTCTGAAGGCCTGAAAATAGATAGACATTTTAACCAATAATCTTTCTTCTGTTTTTCCTCTACATTCCTAAGCAAACAAGGATGTCAGATAAGAAAAAAAATGAAAGTGGGAACTGTGGCTATAGCATCATAACAAGTGCTGTTTAAGTGAGGAAATAGCCTGAACTATTTAAACCAGACTTAAAGCATTATTGAGGCACATAATGGGTAATTTGCCTGCTGGATATACATTGCCAGCCTTCTTGAAGGTAATGCAGAGATGGGAGCTGAGCAAGTGACTTCGGTATCTAAAAATACATTGGTGTTTTCTCATTTGTCAAAAGGACAGAGAGGTTTAGAAGAACAAAGATAGTACTTCATCCATAGAAGTCCCTTCCTCCTGAGTCCTCAGAAGATGCAAGTGCAGCCCACCGCAATGGTCTCCATAACCATTTTATACTCTTTGTGGCACCTTTTCTTCTTCCTGTGAGACTTACTTGGCTCACACAGCATCCGTCGCACAGGGATTTTGCTATAGATTGGAATGCTGACCATGGTGCGGTCCTCCTGCATGGTGAAAGGATTGATGCAACCTGCGCACAGACAATGTGCCTCTGGGATGTCAGCTGGAAGCCGGGATGCATCATGGTTTATCCTAAAGGAAAAAAATGTTGACATCAAAACATGCATATTTTTCTTGATGGCTGGTAGGACTTTGCAGCAATATGAATGTGGAGAGGAAAAAGTGATTCAGGACATCCCTGTTGCACCTCCAAGCTCTTTAAAGAAGCTCCTGCTTTTCCTGGTCATCACACAATCCCAGGAAAATATGTTTGACTGAAAAGGTCCCATCTTATGCAACGTGCCTGTTTCCCTTTTAAAGCCAGATGATGGGTGAGACTAGGATGATATTGCATCACTGGAAGGTATCCCAGAATAAACAGTGGCAAACAACCACTATCAGTTATTCCAAAGATGCTTTTTCACAAGGCAACTGGACTTTCTTGTTTTTCTTTGAAGACGTTTCGCTTCTCATCCAAGAAGCTTCTTCAGCTCAGCTCAGAAGCTTCTGGGATGAGAAGCAAAATGTCTTCAAAAAAAACAGGCCAGTTGCCTCTTGAAAAAGCATCTTTGGGACAATTATGTCTGAGAGTCTCCATAGATAACAGCTACCAGTTGTAGCACATCCCAAAGCTTTTATAAGAATTGACATGGAATTCTTTCTCCCATTATAAAATTCTATTTTCCAGATAGGAAGAATATCTGCATGTAACCTTCTTTGCTCATGGGAAGAATCATGGTTCAACAGAGGGACAATAGGGCCAAGATCCTCCACATAGAAAAATATTGCAATAGGTCATTGCTTCCACTTGTGGGAGCGCAAGCAACCTTTCCCAATCTGGTATCTTCTAGAAATGTTGAGATGAAGATTTCCAGAATTCCCAATTAATGGCTCTGCCAGCTAAGAATTCTTGGAGTTATAATTCTCAGATTGGGAAAGACTAACTAACTTAGATGAATGCCTTCTTTTTAAACAATCATAGATTTGTTCCAGAAAATGATGCCATTCTATTAAGATTATTCAACTTAGCTGCAGAACTAAACAGAAAGTTGTACCTCCATGGCCAATTCCCGGAAGTCTCTTCTGCTATGTCAAGTAGGTCAAGTTGCCCACCACCACCATCAATATACAGTAGTAGCATCTATTGGTGTTCATTACACAGACATAATACAGATCCATGTGATCTCAAGCTTCCATGTTACACTTTTCGTCTGTTAGAACCAGAGTTGGGCTTAGTAATAGCTACCCAGAAGCCCTTATAGCTTAGATGCCACATTTTGTGGCTGCTGTTACTGTTAATCATAGGTCAGAAGCTGATAACTTGTAAGCATGATGTATCATCATAGCAAAGCTAAATGCCAGTGAAGCAATAGTGATTCCATGCAACACTGGAAATGATGGGATAGACTGCATTCCTTTGCTTCCCGTGAAGCAAAGTGTAAATGAATTCAATTCTTTTACTTCTGGATCTGTTAGAGTTTGGGATCTCCAGTTCTTAGTGGATGAATGAAATTACTTGTTCAATGTTCAGAAATACAACAAACTCAAGACCATTAAAAATACCAAGCGGAGAATACAGCGCCACAAACTCAGGCAACCTTGAGTATCTTCTTGATCTGAATATTGGGCAGTATTGGATATTCAAATTAATTTAGGTTTGCTTATGCATGAGCTGCAGAATTGCAGCTGCATGTAGGCTCTGCTAGATAGAAGATTCAGTTTGACCATTACGTTTTAAGTTCATTACAAGAGCAGATAGCCCTTGCTTAACGATGTAACTGGGACTGACTGCTAAGCAACACAGTTGTAAAATGCAGCATCAAGGGGCTACGCTGACTTACAACGGCAATTGTAGCAGTTCCGGTTGTCCTCATTAAACAAATCCCATGGGGTTGTTAAGCATGTTGTCATGTCATTACTGTGAACTTCTGCCAGGTTCTCTATTGTTGGAAGCCAACAATGAAAGTTACAAACGGCAGTCATGATTTTGGGATGATATGGCTGTTGTAACTGTGCGTCATTTGCTAAGTGCCTTAGTCATGGGAGTGCTAGGACAGCTGTAGACCAGTTATAAATATCCTTCTTTAGTGCCATTGTAACTTCAAATAGTCACTGAATAAGTAGTCTTTAAATCAGGATTCCCTGTAAATCCTGTTTTATCATCAACAATGCATCCTGCTAGGATGCTTTTTGGATGTAGGATTCACCTTTTGATGATGCCAAGAAAGCTTCCTTCCTGTCATTTCTACTCTGGACAATTCAAGGGTCCCAGTTAACAATAATTAAACCAGTGATGCTGCCAGGATGCGAATCCCAAGTACAACCTCCCCAAAGGACCAGGCTTTTACTAGTTCTATTTTAGGTTCAGTTCTGTTATATCCTACTT